GGACAGAGCGATTTATTTCTATTGTAGTAGTGCAGCGATCTCTTGAATTTAAATTTATTCAACTCAATTCACAACAATAACACCTGGTACACAGTGGTTTTGTTGCCCGGGATATGAGACTAATTTTAGATATATGCTCACAATTCATGAAACTATCAATGATTTTGTAAGAATAGCTCTCAATTTTGTTAAAAATCTTTATTTTAATTTAAAAAAATATTAATTTTATTTTGAAAGATTAACAAACATTGAAGCAAATAGAGAAAAAAATGTTAAAAACTTATACTATATTTCCATAAAACGCCTTTTGTTAGCTTTTCTTTTATAACTCTTCTTTGGGCAATCTCTTTTTAAAGACCAGCAGTAATCTGGCATCATGTGATAATCCCAGCGACCCTGATACCATTCTTCCATCACTTTTAGATCCTGGTGGAACCGCTCTCCCCGTTATTCACTATAATTCCCTAAATTATCCTCGAATTCATCTAGATGATTGCGAAGATAGTTTAACTTGAAACTCATATTTGCTCCTAGAATCTGAAAATTTGTCAGCATATTTTGCACAATTACCTAGGAAATTTTCGACTACCAACTACTACTATCCCAAGCTTTACTTGATTCCCATGATGTTGCTTTGCTCCACTGTCCCACATGCAAATAAAGCACGGGTATTTCGTGTATCCACTCTGTTGACCGAGTAAAAAATTAACCATTTTCAAAAGTATTTAATTTTTTCTAAAACTAATTTTAAAGATTTTAACTGTGTAGTATAGGACATTATGTAGACTGTAAATCTGGATATCTCCAGGTTTGATTGCGATTGGAACCTTTAGGATCTACAACGCAAAAGTAACAATAATCGAAGTGATTTGTAGGCTCCATCCAGATCATCGGAATTCCAAAGTCTAATCCAGAACGTCCTCCTTTTTTCCATAACCGTAAAGTCAACGCGTAACTTACAAACAGTACTACATTTATACTTTCTTCTTGACGAACTCATATTTTAAAAGACAAATGTATATTTAAATATATATTCAGTAATTGAAACGAAATATTAACTCATAAGAACTTATTTAGATTCACGTGTAGGTACTTCGTATTATCAAATAACTGAGATCTCAGCTGTTCTGCGGAGCAAAGGGTGGGATCGCTAAGAATAGGGATCACGTGATGTTTGTATGCCCGAAAAAGTTATGCAGAATTAAACTGAGGTGGCTTTTACTTGATGGAAATCCATTTATCAAAATAAATAAGAACTAAAAGTTCAGATTTTCACCGTGTCTTTATCAAATGTAATATTTACAAACTACCTGCTACTATATATACCGAAAAATGACCATAAAACATTAATTAATGTTGTTGCGAGAATTTAAGTTCAATAAAGGAGAGGCATTTAAATCTAATTGATCGCTAAGCAATACATTTGAATGTCCCATTTTGTTAATCTCCATGACTTCCAATAAATTTAATTTTCTACTTTTTGTGGCTGTGTGTAATATATCAAAATTGTCGTCAAATATGTGTTTTTCTGTGTTTAAGTGTGTAGCATAATTAGAATCTAGACTATTGTTTTTAAACGCTCTTATATGTTCGTTAAGGCGTTTCTTGAAGGATCTACCTCTTTGTTTTGTGTTGTTAGTTCTGAAAGCTATTTTTAAACCACATTTTGACAAATGTTTTGAAACTTTTTCGCTAGGTTCTCCTATGTATGTAATTGTTTTAAATTGTTCGTGTTCTGTATTAGGTTTCGGATAAATGGAGTTTACTGTTGTCTGGATTTGTTTTTTATTTATAATTTTATCTATAATGTTGTAATACCAGCTCAAATCGCCCTTATACACACAAAATGGCTGCATTTAACTCTTTTATACACAGACTCCTTAATACGCCACTCTCAACAGAAAATTACAACAAAGAACTTAATATCATTAAACAAATAGCACAGAACAACGGCTACGATTTGTCCATTATAGATAAAATTATAAATAAAAAACAAATACAGACAACAGTAAACTCTATTTATCCGAAACCAAATACAGAACATTACATACATAGGAGAACCTAGCGAAAAAGTTTCAAAACATTTGTCAAAATGTGGTTTACAAATAGCTTTCAGGACTAACAACACAATAGGAAAATATTTAAAAAACAATAAATCGAAATATCCAAAATCCCAAAAATCAGGTAGATCCTTCAAGAAACGCGATAAGTGTACAAAATTTGAAGCAATCGACTTCATATTTGACACATCTATGCAGCTTTGCCCCGTGATCCAGATATATATATTTATTTCGCAGTCTCACGAACGCCCCTTTGCCCCACCCCTCTCAACCGCTTAACGGGCGTTTAAAAACTTGTCCTGACTTTTTGTCGGCGATATCAGGCGGCCATCATGTAAATTAATTTCGGTACTAACGACGACGGCGCTACGTTAAAATTGTCACAATTACGGCCCCGACCCGATCTAATCTACGACCAACGATTTTGATTCGCAATAAAATAAAGCAAAGCAGGCTTAATGGTACGTTTTGTATAGGATTAAGTCCGGCGCGTCCGCCTTTTTTTCGATTTTTTTTTTCCATCGTCCCCTGTCGGCGCTTAATTGCTTTTATGAAACGAGATTCTACGAATGGTTGACTCGTATGTAAAATAACCGGCACAGTAAAATACGGGAGCGATAAATACGAACGCTATTTGGTAAGGTTTTGGTAATTGCTGGTCTCTGGTTACTTCTTTCAACTGAGATTTCTCTCCTTTTTAACGGAAACAATTCTGGAAGTCGAAGACGCAGAAGAATTGGCTGCATAAACTTTTATTCTTGACAATTTTTCAAAAATGCACAGGGTGCGCCTCAAATTAAAAAAAAAACTACAAAATGGGTCCCCCTAGTATTGAAAATCGGAGATAACTAAAGCACTGTGTTTCAAATATCAGTTGCTTTTACATGGCAATAAAACTCACATACACAGCAAAAACTTTTGTATTTACGGTTTTCACCTATTGTACAGGGTGTTCGCGATATTCCGTGCAATATTAAAAGTTGTTATAGGCGCTCTAAATTTGCAGCCAGCGACTCCAGATTTGGCAGAGAAGTAGAAACTCGGATCCACATTCAATCTCTTTAAAGTCGCAATTAAGTACCGCAAAGTATTTTTTTTTATTCTTGAATTTTTTTTTGTTATTTTGGCTTCCAGAAAAACTTGTTTTTCTCCATAACAATTTTCCCGATCGGCAAAATTCTTTAACTGGCAGACGTGGAGGATCCAGTTTAATAACATTTATTTCAGGCATTTTGTCGATTATATACAGGTTTTTTAAATTATAGTCAAAAATCTTAAAGACTTTGAAAATTGTTTTTTTCCAGAGTAAATTATTAATCGCAAATCAAAAATCGTGAAAAATAATTTAATTTTTGTATTTGCGCTCTTAGTCTATCACACACGCTGGTCGAGAAATTTGAAAAAATTCATATGAAAATCACTATTCCACGGGCCGTCAAGACACGATGACGTCAGCGATTATTACAGCTTACTGCATGGTTTCAGAAAAGGCTTATTTTCCCGAAAACCATTTACTATTTTAGAAAAATTCATGGACCAGGAAACGGTTTTTTTTTTTTTAAATTATATACAGGGTGTGTCGATTATGGGTAAAAACATCTAAAAGAGCCTGAAAATTGCCGAAATTTGCTCCAAACGGTTTCGTAAATTGTGAGGAAAGAGGGTTTCAGGTTTCATCTGTCATACAGGGTGCGCGAGATACTTGGAATATTATAATTGGAAATCGTTATTACTTGCACAATTTTTTATATTTATCAAAGTTTGTCGTTCGAAATTCGGCGATAAGTAAAAGGCGCTTCATACATAGTGGTCCGCAGAAGCGAGTTCGCGCTACGCGCTAAGCACTTGCCCCGCCCAGCGACGATTTTTCGAAAGCAATCTTGTTACTTTCGAAAATCGAATTTTTCGAAAGTATCTGCGCTCGTATAAAAATTTTATATCTCGGTAACGGCAAGTCCTATGGGATCGCCGTTGGTACAGAAATGATCACGGTCGAAAAAAAAATTTTTTTTGTCTGTTTGTCCATTCTCCGTTCTCCCTTCTCGTCTTTTGGTTTTTCCTGAATAACTTTCGAACCGTTGGAGCTACTCAATAAACACTTCTGCCGTTATTAATATAGGCTTTTAAGACTATAACTATGCAGATCTGGTCAAATAAGTTCAAAATTTTATTTACTTTGAGCATTTCCGAAAGTGTCTGCCATAATGTTAACCGCATACTAAGGGTCCGCCTTTATTATTTATCGATAATAATAACGGCAGTTGTGGTCAAATATATTTAAAATTCGCCAAAAATCAATACCTGTCTCACCTGCGCAGTACCTGGGTCCACCGCTTTGGGCCTTTGGTATAGGGGCCTCAATGTACAAAAACCCAGGTCTGGTCAAATACATGCAGGTAGCCGCCCACTGGCTCTTAGACTATAACTTTTCTGTAAATACAATGACCCAATGTAGAATATTTAATAATAGATAGATAATATATAGAATATATAGAATACCAATTCAATGGTAAAACGTATGTTAGGGTGTATAAAGCTTAAATATGTAAAGAAATCTACTAGGGATTCTAGACCATGAGGCCGATTAAAAAATTTACGTATTATTAATTGTCATTATTAAATTCAATGGGCCTTCGTGAACCGCGAATGACGCTACCGCCGTTCTGATCTATTTCGACCGGATTAAGCTCGTTCGGCGCTACCCGCGGCGCCCCGCCTCCGCCGCCGCCACCGGTCGGCAAAGATCAAACGGAAACCGGCGTATTATTAAAATCTCGCTACCGCGAAAAAAAAACCGACGGGCGAGCATTAAGGCGCGCCGGGTCACCTCTTGAAAAATTACCTATTGAAGAGGCGGCCGGGGTAGATAAAAAGCAACTGAACCAAAGTGGTATCGTATTATACGCGATTAATCTGATCCGGCACACTTATTTTCCGCAGATAACGTCGCTCTGGTTGGGCATGAGTCTGATGGTGGCTCTCGAAACCGCTGCCGATCAACAGCCGATTTTCACCAATGCGATACAGAGGGTGGTGCAGACGCAGGCGAGTTCCGCCACCGGTCACTTTAAGCCGCTGAAGAAGGTGTTTCTGTCGGACAGGGCGGTGACGTGTAACGACGGCTCGCAAGCGGGGTGAGTCCTTGATAATGTTCGAATTCTGAGAAAAGAAGATATACGAATACGAGGTCTGTTCGAAAAGCACGGTGACTTTTGACTCGTATGTCTCCGTAGGAGCGGCACACCATGTCTTATTGTTAAAGCAGGTTTTCTAATATTTCTAAGTTGCACTGTTGAACCTTCGCTGAGGACATGTTTACGTTAAAATAAAATATTGAATACCTTTTACTTGATGAAAATCCATTTAACAAAATAAATAAGAACTAAAAGTTCAGATTTTCGCGAAGTTATATATATTCACATGACAACACCGTGCCTTTATCAAATGTAATATTTACAAACTACTCGCTACTATATATACCGAAAAATGACATTAATCCCTTAATTTGGGTTATTATTATTATGCCGTTATTATACATGTAGTTTTGGATTGTTGCTTTTGTGTCACATGAGGAAGGGGTTTTAGTCAACTGTATACTGTGACAACTTGCTTGGAACTAGTTTGTTTTAAATCAACTTTGAAATAAATCAACGGGGGTGTCTGTATGGTAATCCAGAGAAGAATCTTTAATATTTTTCGCAGACAGAGAAAGTCCATTTGGAATCCAACCATCTTTAGAGCCAGCATGCAAAATAGTTATTCTTTTACCTCTTTTAGATGGCGCGTTTGTTGTACACTTATAAGTTGAGTCAACCCAACCCTTTTCCGGGGTATCATAAGTGTCGAACCAGGTTTCTTTCAAGTAAATAATTGGAATTTGTTGCTCTCTGTAAATACTATTTTTTTCTAGATATTCCAGTCGCCATTTTCGAATTCTAAAAGATTCAATTTTTTTTCAATTGTCAATTTTTTTAAATCTAAAACCCATGTGTTGAATACATTTCACTGCCACATTTCACCGGTTTCATCTTTTTCAAGCCTCCTAATTAAGATATCTGATGTAGGCACGCTTTGTTCCTCGTATAACTGGTAAATTTTGCGCCGTATTGTATCTTGATCACTTTCATCTACACTCGAGAAAATGTCAGTATCGCTTCTTTTTTTCCTCGCTGAAATGGGATTATTCAAAATTTTCCATACAATTGATGTTGGAATTGTCGTCAATGTGACCGTTTCTTCTAAAGATGCTTGCTTGCTGGCACCACGTTCAATGAGAGTCAAATAAACATTGTTTATATCTTCTTTGGTCTCAATAGAATAGTGTGATAGACTAGACTCGCACATATTTTGCATAATTCGCACACGATTCAACAAACGCTGTATTACACACGAAATAAGAATGATTATTAATTAAGTTAAACTAAGTAGCATATCAAACCAAAGAATATTATACACACAGGTAGGTATAAAATTATTTTCTATTACAGACCACAATTTTACCTGAATTTAAATTCCGAAACTTTAGGTAATAATCTTGTTGCATTGTATTTTAAGGACCACCCATTCAAAAGCAATTGGTCACTTTTTTCTTATATCTATGAACAGACCATACCTGTTACTACATATACCGAAAAATGACAATGAATCCTTAATTAATGTTGTGAGAATTTAAGTTTAATAATGGAGAGTTATTTAAATCTAATTGATCGTTGAATATCTCATTTTGTTAATCTCCGTGACTTCCCATACTTTAATTTTCTGCTTTTTGTGGCTGTATGTAAAATATCAAAATTGTCGTCAAAAATGTGTTTTTCTGTGTTTAAGTGTGTAGCATAATTAGAATCTAGATTATTGTTTTTAAAAGCTCTTTTAATGCGTTTGTTGAAGGAGCTACCTATTTGTCCAATATAAATTTTTGGACATGATCCGGATTTCAACCTGTAGACACCTGATTTTTGAGATTTTGGACACTTCATTTTATTGTTTTTTAAAAATTTTCCTATTGCCTTGTTAGTTCTGAAAGCTATTGTTAAACCACATTTTGACAAATGTTTTGACATTATTTCACTTGGTTCTCCTATGTATGTAAATGTTTTAAATTGTTCGTGTTCTGTATTAGGTTATGGATAAATCGAGTTTACTGTTGTCTGGATTTGTGTTTTATTTATAATTTCATCGATAATGGATATCGGATTGTAGCTGTTGGTCAGTGCAATTTGTTTAATGATATTAAGTTCTTTGTTGTAATTTTCTGTTGAGAGTCAGTTGTCATGAGAACATACATAATTTTGTGAAAATCTGAACTATTATTTCTTATTTATTTTGTAGATATATCAACGACTTCAGTTCACATGTGCACCATTTTTGCATTTTCAATATTAATAGACTTATAACTAACACGGTTGGGTATAGTTCGATGTATATTTCGAAAAAGAAAATTCAAATGCCCAAGAAATTTTTACAAGATGAAATTCAAAATGAATAGCAAAGTAGTGAGGATGAATTTTATATTGACGCGTCTGAAAATGATAGATTGGATAGTGATAATGTTAGTGACGAAAGTGACTAGTAGTGGTAGTGATATTATAGTGACTAAAAGACAGAGAAGCATACCTCTACCATCAAAAAACGAGAATATATCACAACCTGGTAATTTGGGTTCACCATCAGGTAGGATAACCTTCTCTAATATTCAAGAGTATTGGTCACAACAGTTCAACGAGAAAAGACCTTTTTTAGTAGCATATTTAGAAGGAGAACGATTTTTAGAAATTTCTTGGATGCTCCACTTGCATGGAAACGATCCAAATGACCAAACTCTTACGGCTCGAGCCCGAGTCAGTCACTATATAGATTATTTGGACAAGCAATTCAAACAATATTTTGTTCCATCATGAGAGATATCGGTAGACGAATCTGTTGTTGGATTTAAGCGTAAAATTAACTTGACGGAAGCTTGACATGATATTTAATGAGACCTGATTTACATGTAAGTACAAGGATAGCGTTACATCTGTGTCAAAAGTCTTTAAATGGTGCTGAAAATTATTTTTCTGAGTACTCGAAATGTCTATTGTGAATGTATATTTATTATATAAAATTTCATAACTTGGCCAAAATAAAAAACCAATGACACATCTAAGGTTTGTTTGGGAATTGGCTGACAAGTTGACTTTCGGCAGAGGCAGAAATTTCTGGCAGACCGTCAACTGTAGATACAGAATAGCGACTAAATGGTAAATTACATATTTTACGCCAAAATATACTGTGCGGTATGTTCTAACCGTAAGGTACAAGGCTGCAGGCGGGAAATTAGGTATATTTGTGACACTGCTTCGAATGGTACCATACTCACCTAATTTACTAATAATAAATAAAATAAATAAATATACAAATAATGAAGTACATAATTAGTTAACCTTTTTCTAAGTCAGTCTTAAGAGAAGAAACTGATGGTAAACACTAAAAACTACCCAAGCAAATCTTGTAAAGCACTGACAAAAACAGTTTTTTTTACGACTTTAATGTTAAAAACCTGATTATTGGCAACGATCTTTTCAATTGCATCCTTTTCGATTCAGTTTGCGCCGATATAAGTCTGAAAAGCATTCGTTTCCGAGATAATTTACTGCCGTCATCGGGACAGCCTGTATAGCACCGCAAATGCGTCTAATCGGGAGCTTTAAAACATTAAAGCCGAGTTCGAAATTAGGGGCAATTATAGAGAGTGCCTCGATTTGTTCGATTAACTCGTAACGGTATATACAGGGCGTCCCAAATTCGTTCGACTCAAGGTGCCTTACGAAAAACTGTTTGTCGTCAGGTTTTACTTGAGAAAATCGTCGAACAGCAAAAAGTGGATCATATTCCTGGAAGGAGGCTGGTACTGTTACGACTACAACAGCTGCAGGAACAGGTGGATCAAGCAGAGGCATTATATGACGTCATCCAAATGGCCTGAAACCAAAGACGGTATGCCACACATTATTTATATCTACGTTACTTTTGCAAAATCGACCAAATCGAATTTTTTGAAAGCGGTAGATCCTACAGGGTCGCCATTGGTGCGGATTTTTTTGATGTCCTTTCTCCGTTCTCTGTTCCTCTGTAGCTGTGGCATTAAATTGCGATAACTTTCCAACGGTTTGGGACACTGCCTTCAGATTTATCTCCTTTTCAGAAACAAGTATTTTCCCGAAAACTGTTTACTCTATTGAAAAAATTCATATACCAGGAAACATGAGAGATCCAGGGCTATAACTTTTACAGGGTGTGTCGATACATGGGAGAGTTTCAGGTTTCGTCTATTATACAGGGTGAGCGACATATTGGAAAAGCATCATTCGAAATCGTTATTGTTTGTAGAAATTTTCATATTTACCACTTTTAGTCTATTAAAAAAAATATCCAAGTAAACAATTATTAAAATAGAAGAAAATTATTTAAATGTGTTATATTACTAGATTATTGACTAATAATATTTTATATCTTCGAGTAATTCTGGAATGACAAAATAAAACACAATATTCAAACCCCTCTCAAAAATCTGGTATTATTGGGTGGTATTTGTATTTTTGTAAAATTCTTTGGGCAGTCTATTTTGACACCCCTACCGTTGTTTCCATGTAACCAAATACATTTGTTTTTCGTTGATATACAAATTATACTGACTGCATCCCTTCAAAATTCCTACCTCTGGTGATATAATTCCGAAGCTTCTTGGGTATTTTCATTACAATGTATGAAATATACCGACATATCATATTTTTCGGAATTTTGATACACTACCATTATCATAGGAAATTAATTAGAAGGAAATAAACACAGCGAGAACAAATTTATAGCTAATAAAAATATAATAAAAAAACTGACAGTCTCGTATGTTTTTGACACATTTTCTATTTTGTTTTTGATAGATGAACCATGGCCAACTATCGACTTAACATGATAATAATATACCATTATTATTATATTATTTTACAAAAAGATATTTTCATCCTGTTTTTTGAAAATTAAGATTCTCTTGTATAGTAATAATAATAACAATATATTTTTGTGTAATGTAAAAAAATAATACATAAGGTGTTCCTTTTACAAAAATATATGTTTGCTTCATAACTAAAAAACCTTGTAAAAGTGTACATATTTTTCTATAAATCAAAAATTCCAAAAAACGCATTCTTGTTTGCAGTGGGCGGCATATTGTCGCCCGACATCAAAGAGAACCCCTATTGGTGGAGCGCCAACCACGTGTTCGTCCCCTACTGCAGTAGCGACTCGTGGAGCGGGTCAAAACGCTCGGAAAAGCAAAGCACTTTCAGTTACATGGGCTCCTCCATCGTCCTGCAAGTGGTCCGGGACTTAATACCGTTGGGCCTCGAAAATAGCACGGATCTCCTGCTGGCCGGAAGCAGTGCCGGCGGTACGGGAGTCATGCTCAATTTGGATTTCGTCGACGAGCTCCTCCACGACGAGATGCAGCTCAAGCAGGTCAAGGTGAAGGGAGTGACCGACTCGGGATGGTTTTTGGACAGAACTCCCTATGTTCCGACAATCAAGACGGCGGTAGATGCCGTGAGAAAGGGAATGGATCTCTGGATGGGGAGGGTGCCTCGGAGGTGCAGGGAGCAGTATTCGGACGAGCCTTGGAGGTGTTATTTCGGGTACAGGATTTATCCTACGCTCAAAGGTAATTTGTGGATTTTAAGGGAAAACCTAATTTGCTAAAAATGGAATTATTAAAAAAAATAAATAAAAACTCGTGTTTAAGAAAAAAACTATTTCTCAAGAACGATAAAAAAATTATTGAACTTGATGATCCGCGACATTCAGTGCTATACATCTTTTAATTTTCAAAAATATACAGGGTGTGCCCGGTATTCGCAAAAAATTGATAATTGGTTCCTCCTTAAAAAAAATTGGCTGCAACTAAAAGTATAATTTAGTGGTCAATTTGTTTTATGCTACAATATAGCTCGTACAGACAGCCAAAAGTTTGTACTTAAGGTTTTCAGCTATTGTACAGGGTGTTCAAATTTTACAGAATATTAAAAGTCCGTACCCACAGTTAAACAATAAAAATCGTGCCAAATCAAATATCACCGAGTATGTTTTAAACATTTTTGATTTTTTTTTTTGTTATTTTGGGGTCCAGAAAAACACAGTTTTTTCAAAAACTATTCAACGGATCGGCAAAATTTTAGAACTTTTTAGAAAACGTGGGACATCCAGGCTATAACTTTCGTTTCATGTGTTTTTTCGATTATATAGCTTAATAGCTGCAAATCAAAATTCGTGAATAATATGGTTAATTGTTTCAAACAGCATCAAGACCTACAGTTTTTGTATTTACGGTTTTCGTCTATCACACATGCTGTTCGAAATATTTGAAAAAATCCATATGAAAATCGCTATTTCTCGCACTTACCATTGCGGCGTCCTGTATAGTTTCAAACAAGAATTATTTTCTCGAAAACCATTTACTCTATTGGAAAAATTCATGGATTAGAACACGTAGGAGATCCAGGGTTATAACCTCTTCTTCGAACATTTTTTGAATTATATACAGGGTGTGTTGTTTTTGGAGCAGAAAATCTAGAAGAGCCTGGAAATCCCGTTTTTTGGGCAAAAATGACAAAAGATGGGATAATTTGGTTTAAACAGTATCGTAAACTGGATCGAGAGCTACAATTTTCTTATAGTTCTTGTATATTATACAGGGTGCGCGAGATATTTGAATAAAAATATTATTGTGAATCGCTATGAGCGGTAAAATTTGTTGTATTTACCAAAGTTTACAATACGTTTTCTTTCGTTTCTCACGGTCATAGTTACTAAGTTTCTAAGTCATCTGATTCGTAAATTTCATCAAAACCGTAATTAAATAAGTCATATAAAAATGAATCATAATTTAAAACGTTTAAAATCGCGAAAAGTTAATTACGTCTACTACGTAAATTTTACCCGGTTTTGTAATTTTATCCCTTGGCTTTGCAGGACATTTTATTCAGTATTGTTTTTTCAATAATACAAGCTAAATATTTATTGAAAGTTAACTATGTCACGTCTACCCCGTAACGCCACACCAAGCGTAGACTATGCCGGTTCGGCGTGCAACGCCCTGTTGTCACGTTGACTGAAATCTCCGGCATGTTTATTATTTTTTAATATTCACTCCTCAACATTGTCCCTAAAAACTCGATGTTTAATTAAAGGACTTATTTGTTTTTCTAGCCAAGCTCTTCGTCTTCCAGTGGCTGTTCGACGAGGCCCAAATGGACGCGGACAATGTAGGCGCACCCGTCACCAAACAACAGTGGGACTATATCCACAAAATGGGTGACGCGCTCAGGCACAGCTTCCAAAACGTCACCGCAGTTTTCGCTCCATCTTGCATATCGCACTCGGTGCTGACCAAGAGGGACTGGCAAGAGGTGAAGATCGACGACATGTCCATAGCTGACGCCCTCCACTGCTGGGAAAGGAAAGACAACAGAAAGTAACTCATTTCTTTAAAAGTTCCGTGCATTGACGCTAACCCGGGGGGGATTTTGGCAGGATAAACAAAAGGAAAAACTACAAAAACAAAAGGCAATCGGACAGAAACCGCGTCATTGACACGGGCGAAGTCGCGGGACGGAATTTGACCAGTGGCGTCGCGGACGACGCCAAGAGGAGGCTCAGAAATAAACCCGGCCTCAGAAGGAAGCGAAAAGGTATTTTTTTTCATATGTTGACCTTTTAATTTTTATCTAACGCCGTTGACATTTACAAAGAACATTGTGTACTCTATTTAAAAAAATAGGTAAGGCGAAGCTTGAGGGACTTTTTTTTTATTTTGACAGAAGCAGAATAGAAGCTTAATAATAATGTAATGATAACTAAGAATAGAAGGAAAAACTCTTTTGGAGATATTGCTATAAGGTGCATCATTAATAAAAGTAGATATGCAACGACGGTTTTGAGCCCGAAATTACCCACAACGTCTTTTCCCGAGCAATGTAGTGAAGGTTTAACAGAAGCTGTTGAATTATAAGCATCATCATAACGATGAAACCTTATCTTGTAAAAGTTCCAGGTAAAAAAGGCTCTAATTCTATTGCTATTTGCTGCAGTGCTATAGCGTGAGACGGCCTTGAATTTAAGTTAAGGTTTCATCGACATCATACATAAAATTAATAAATACGACAGGCTATATGTTTTCGTCGAGACAAAATCAAAACAATATAAACGTAAAACGAATACATAGAAACACATACACATATGAATGCATAAAAATGCACAAAAACGAAAGTTTTCAGGATCTTTCAGATATTTTATGACATAAACGACATACCCTGTATATAATGCAGAAAATTTTCGAAGGAGAAGTTATAACCCCCTGGTATAATAATTCGTCTGATAGAGTAAATGGTTTTCTAGAAAATGCCTTTTTTGTGAAACCGTGTCTATCGCAATTGTAAATGACGTCATCGCGTTTAGATTGAGGGTGAGAAATAGTGATTTTCAGTGGATTTTTTCAAATATCTCGAGCAGCGTTAATACAAAAACTGTAGCTCTTGAATAATAATACCCTGTATATAATCGGAAAATTGCTTGAAATGAAAGTTATAGTACCCGATCTTCCGATCAAGTTCAAATTTTTTGAAAAATACTTTTCGAAATTTGATGGTTCCCAGTTTCTGCAGTTTAGATTTAGCTGTGGACTTTAACTTCCCTGCTAAAATCTGAAGTCGATGGCTGCAAATTTGAGAAACACAGAATATCCCGAACGCCTTGTACAATATATGAAAACCTTAAATGCAAAGGTTTTAGCTGTCAATGGCCATGTGAGAGAAACTGACAACTGAAATACAGCCTTCCAGTTAAGGTCAATTATCAATTTAAGGGAAACGAGATTTTTTTTTTTTTTAATTCTTTTCGGCCCCCCAAGCTAAGCTCCGTATGTACGCAAAGTTTCGATTCGATAGATTCAAATTTCGGAAACTTATCAATTTCCTCAAAACAGTCGAAAATCAAAAAAAAAAATATCTCTGCTGACCTTCGACTGCGGCCATTTTTACGTATTTTGTGTAGTCCGTGGACCATTAAAAAGAAGCGAAATTTGAACCGACTAGATCAAACCGTTCGGAAGTTATCGTGGAAAAAGTCCAGCCTTGCAAGAACAATTTTTTGCTTCGTTGCAGGAAAAGGTAAAAAGAGGCAACCGTATAGAAACCACGCCGCTAACGCCATACTCTCAAACGACCTTATCGCGAGACCGAACGTCCTCAAACGCAGGAGGTCTAACGGACGCAGGTGCGCCCACAGAAGACTTGAGAAGTGCTCTTGGCCGCAGTGTAACCATTCTTGCCCCAAGCTTCACGATCCTTACACCGGCGAAGAAATGGACTTCATCGAGCTGCTCAAGTCTTTTGGCTTGGACATGGAAAGCGTGGCTAGCGCTTTGGGCATCGACATGGACACCCTGAACAACATGGACCAGGCTGAGTTGCTGAACATGCTGACGCAACACTCGAGCTAAACGTACCTCAGTATTTGTATCATAGGTTTGTACATAGGTCTGTTGGATGCGTACTAGTTTCTACATTTTTCCTCCTCTCTCCACCCCACTGTAAATAACGACGGCACCAAAAGTTTTTTTTTATACGAGGGCTCCCTTTTATATTTAGGGATTTGCACTTTTGCTTTTTAAACGCATCAATTGCTTCTTCTGGTGTCCAAAATCGTTGCCCACGTATGGAAATAAAAAGACCTCCATGAAATTCATCCTTAAGAAAACTACCACCACACCTGAAGTCCGAAGACCAGCGATAAACAGCGATCCTAGATGGTGCTCTACTCCAAAAGTCGAATTAAGTTCATCGATACATTGTTGTTGAGTTGTCCACGTGTAAAGTTGTAAAAAATTATTGCACAAAAATGCTCCCGATTAAGTTCCATTTTTAACCCTTACATTTTTTTTAATTCATCACAAAAACACAAACACTCTTTCGGCGAAACCTAACCTCAAAATGTCAAACTTCCCTATAAAAACTTTAGTCTCTACATAGCAGAACTAGTTTAAGAAAATCCCGAAATATAAAAAGCAACCCTCATATAAACGTATATACAAACCGTGTAAATATTTTATAATTTATTTTAGTTTTAGTTTTGAGTTGCGAAATGTCACCGTCGCTCTGACGAACAATAGGACTGATTTTGTTTCTACCTCATTATTGTGTACACTACTATAGTCAGTAGGTTACCTTAATATATTTGTTAGTTTTTTTTTTTTGTACAAACTGAATTAGAATAAAACGAATACTAGTTGGATTGTCTACTTTTTCTCTCCCATGTATAAATAATAATGATTATATTTATATAGCTTTATTTAATGCGTGCAGAGTGAGTCAACGATAGAAGAAAGGTGATTATCTCATTGGTTCCAGATGTTATAAGACAATTGTAAATACAAAAATAGTTTTCTAGTTTCCACGCTTGCATGTACGGTGCTAGGTGCGGAAAGTGTCATTTTACCACGCCACCTTCGTTTGGAGCGAGCCAATTCAGACATTTCCGGGATATTACCAAATAGGTTTGGGAACAATCGGGTATTTTCGGAGGTTATGTCCGTGAATGTATTCGTGTTGTGCAAAATGCATCCCATCCCGTAAAAACGTTGGGTAAACATTTTCAATCACTTTTTTTTAAGGCCTCTACCACACATGTTGCGTAATATACTATTTATGTGATTAAAGAAATCTAAATCTACAAACGCTCAATGAAGTAAAAATTCTTTAACACCTTGTAGCTACAAAGCAAAATCTTATTGTTACATGACGAATCCACTCTTAATTTCTTCTGAAACGCCTTGTACACTTATAATAAACTCTCTCTATCAGTCTTCCAATCTACCTTCTTCTGCATTGTTCAGTGTCCCTACCCTCTCCCATACATAACTATGGGTCTTATGATGATTTTGACTAGTCTCACTTTAACTTTCCTGGTATTTTAAAACCAATCAGCCATTGATGTTTATATCCTTTGGCTCTACTACTTTGCACTTGCACTGTAACATATAATTTATTCCTATTAAAGCCTAAGTGGCCTTTAGAATATTCACGTCAGTGTAATAACAGAAAGCTGGGGCGATGATACATTTAACACAGAAACTTGAGAGTTTTTCAACAATTTCCTTCTAATTTTGAGGTTAGATGAGAATAAAATATTAAATATTAATAAGTGATTTTGAAACCACCTGAGCATTCTACTTCACACAATATTTTGTGTACCCTGTATATTAATAATCGGTACTTTTAAGCAGTAGTTAAACACAGAAGTATCTAGTGATAAACAAAACAATAAGTAAGCACTAGGTTTATTCTAAAAAAATGTGAACCTAGTTTTTCTTGTCCTTTTTTTAAAGAGACATCCGCAGACTACTGCAATGCTATCTGCAAATCTTTTGGACGTTTGGCCAATCATACTGTTGGCTTCTTCAGAGCTTAATAGAAACTAAACAGTTAAGTGCTGAAGAAACTCTGTGATCGCTAATCATGCTGTTGACTTCTTCAGAGGTTAACTGAAACTGAACAGTTAAGTTCTGAAGAACCCAACATGATGTTTCACGAAACGTAAGCCAGTTTGATTTCTTCTTCTTGTTTCGTGTGCCCTTTCCGTTTTCATGTTGGTAATCACCAAGGCGAAGACGGCGCGATCTTCTGCAGAGTGGGATACGAATCATCGTTCTTCTAGACGTTCAGATTTAGATCGTCATTGCTTAACACGCACCTCATGTTATTAAAGGTGTTATTTAGTCGCGCAGTCTGGAATCAGATTTTAAACTTGAAACCGGCTACTATTTTAATTTGAGGTCCCTTGTGTTCTAGGGTAGTGTCTTGGTGAGGTTTTCTGCTGAATATCAAGAGTTAGGTCTTTCATTTTGTGACCTCGTGGTTCTCCCACTTCCATGATTCCAATCTGCGCATCTGATCATTGTCATTGTCTCAGTATCCACCTTGCCTCACTATTGCCTATTCCTACTTGTACTCTTTGGTTCCAATATAGGTTTTTAATTCTAGTTCTTAGTTAGACGACGGAAACTTAACACTTAATAACGCACCCGTTTCAGTTTCAATTTCTTTATTAAAATTAAACTACTACGCTGTTCTGAGGTACGCCATTATTTCCTCGAGTTGGCGTCTATCGCTACCGCGATCAAGTCGTTGCTCAGGAAGTAATCGGTGGCCACGACGTTCGCGTCGTAGAACCACTCTTCCCTGAACCACTTGGTCACCTCCCTGTTCACCTTCTGTGCGAGGTTCCGTAGGTTGTTAATTCTGAGGATGAAATCCAGCGGTTGCGGCGTGAGTTCTGCCATCAGGGCCCACATCGGGTTGATGGTGGTGCGGTGCTGCTTAATAGACCTCGTGAGGAACCCCTTCAAGGAGGACACGCTATTGGTGTCTCCCCAAAACTGCTGCAGCGGCTGCCACAACCAAAACGTTTCTGGAAATCGAAAAGTTTCGTCGACATCGGTATTGAAGAGCCGCTCACCTCTGACTGTGTTCCTGTCCGAGTAGCAGATGATTACGCTTTTGTTCTGGGCCCAGATTTCGTTGAGGGTGGGTCCTTTGCCCACCTGGAGACCCGACGGTGATAGGGCGTGATCGCCCAGGTACCGGTATACCAAGTCCGTGAATTTCCTGTGCATTTCCGCCGTGAAGTTGCTCGGATAGGGGAACCGGTGGAAATCGACCACCACGACTTCGGACGGCGCGAGTTCGACGAACTTTTTGATTTGGTCCAGGACCGTCTCGACATTGATCACCTTCACTTGGTCGTGGTTTATGAAGAAGCTTTTCATCAGAACTTCAATTAGTAATAATTTTCCTAAATGAACTAATATTTTGTTATTGTCATATTCGAATTTTTTGAGTATTAATAAAAATACGTAATTTTAAATTGCATAAAAGTTGTGCGTTTTCAAAACACAATTATTTTCAATATTGCGAGAAGAAAAGTTGGAGGATTAATGAACTGTAAAACTTTGTAGCGGTAGCAATATTCCATAGGCGTACCTATGATGATTGTGAAGAGAGTGTCAAGTTCAAGTTGGACAGTCCGACCTGTATATGAGGATAAACACGGCTCCATCAGGTTACCAAAGAGAAGCACGGAAGGAAACAGAAGTGCAAGTAGTATAGTAATGTCGGTTCTGAACCACTTTTAGTTAGTTTCCGATTAGTCTGATGATTCTACACAAGAGTAAAAATAAATTCTAAAAAAATTTAAGGAAATGAATCTTCATTAAGAAAAAACTCAAAACAGATAATCACTTTTAGTAGAGGAAGAAGAAAAAATCTATCTATCTATTAGATTTGAAGGAAAAACGGGAATGTCTGGGTACGTAGTATAGCATAGAAATAGAAAAACGAAGCTAGCTTTTATGGAATAAAGAATAAAAGTACCCTCGGGTAGCAAAAATTGACTTGTGGTATTGGCTTACTAGAATTTCAAAATGGACTTGACATATGACTTGTTACATATATTTTTTGTTGTTCTGCTCACTCTGTTAGATGCTTTAAAAAAATGATAATTGCGAGTAAGTATTTTTATTAGAAAGAATTTTCAAAAAAAAATTAGTGGTGTTGGCAGTATCCCATAGGCGTACGTCAGGAGATTGGCGAAGACAGATAGTAGCCACCATTAAAATTCAAGTTGGAGAGTGTAACTTATACATGAAGATAAACGCCGCTTCATCGGGTCGCCAAAGAGAAGTACGAGAAAAAACAACACTTTAACCACTTAAATTAAAAACAAAACAAAAAGTGTTATATTTATTTAACAACTTTATGTCGTAATTCAAAAATTCTGAAAAACTAACTACTCCAATGGATTCCACTCACAAAAAATTATCTGTAAAGCTATTTTTATTTTTTCGATGGTTTAATAGTAATGGGTGCCTAAAATAGCGAAATTTTCAAAATCGCCTCAGAAACGCAATGGGATTAGAAAATTCCGCCAGCCTCTAGTTGAACTCGTAATCATAATACATTAAAAACTGAGATTTTCGCCACAAATTATGGTCATTCAGACCATAGTGGGCCGAGACGATCTGTCGCTTTGGTACAACCTTCGAAAAAACTAACCAAAACTAGTGAAATTTAAACGTACCCTTCGCGATGGTAGAATCCAACCCTGAAATCCAAATATCTGATGCCGTGCACCAGCTGGGTCCAGACGTCCCTGTCTTGATTGAGCACATAACCTTCGAGAAAGGCCGGTATACCGTCGTACGATCCCGAATTATGGGTGCCCGGTATAAATATGGAGCCTATCTTCTGGCTGCCCAAGGTTTGCCTGGAAATCGGAACGCGGCAAACTTTAGAGTCACGGAAATATTTGATCGCCTAGCCGGAACAAAGAAGATAAACGGATTGTCAAACTTTGCAGCGTTTGACGTCATAACGATATTAAAACGGAAGATCAACGGAAACTGCTCCGTCTTCCGTTTGCTTTCCCGGCCTTCCGTTACCTTTGCTTGAATTGTGTAATTGTAATGATGACAAATCCTAAAAACTGCGACTTGAACGAGGGACGTTTTCAAAGTTCGGAAAATTTATAATAATAATAATAATAAATGAAGTTTATTCGCAGAAAATTAATTACAACAAACGTATTTGTATACATTATATATAATTATCCCAAAAAGGGACTGAAAGCTATTTGGAACTGGTCGAAGTTCAGTCCCAAAAAGTTAAAAGTTTTATAATAACAAGATTGGATTTTGATTGAGCAACAAAAGTCATGTAAAAAAGAGAAAATATAAAAGAATATAAGGATTTAAATGCGTATTAAAACATAATCCACCGCACTACCCATCATTCAGGAAGTAATGTTTGTGTTTTTTCTTTAAGAATTGACGTTCAAACATTTAAATTGTCTGGTGTATAGTTAAGGTTATAAGAAAACGATCTTTCATAAAGTGTGTGTAACTTGAGTTTTTTCGATGGAACCATTGCACAAAAAAATTATAGAATTCGGTCGAAATTAGTGTTGTTTAAAGAAAATATTGTTACGTATATTCGTTATCTGAAGTGATAGAGTCGTAGTGCCTATAAGTTTAGGAAATAGTGCTCGTCTTACGTGGATGTACACGGATTTGTGATGTGTAATTCCATGAGGTGTATATAAATACGGTTTCCGAATGTCCTATATTCACGCTGGTAACCAGGCCGGATGGGATCGGAAATCCAGTATAAGATAATTGCTGGAGCCATTTGAAGAATCGGTCGTCATTTTATGACAATTTATTTAGAAGTTTCCGTTTTTGTATATGTAAGAAACAAAAACCTAAAGGATGATGGATTGGTCCAGACCCTTCTCTTAAGAAGGCATTCTGTAACTTATGTGATATTATCGTATACGAAGGCAACATTTTTGTATAATCTGAATTCTGTCTTTATTTATTTTATCCAAACATGGTCTATGGACTACGCCACAAAAAATAAGCTGGCTCAATACTGTAAATAGCAAAAAGAAGCGGCCCCAAACTGGAGCCTTGGGGTACCCCACAAGTTTCGCGCTCTCCGAGGAGCCAGCAAAATGCAAAATCGTTCGTGATGATCGCTCTCCGAAAACACTTAGAACACTCGAAGTTTGAATTGAAATCTTGAAATTTGTTCCAGAGCACCTTGAAATTGTTAAAATTGTTATTTGTACAGGAGTCCAGATTAGTTTGATTTTTAATCTGTTTATAGATATTCCAGTTACAGTTTTGTTTTTTTTTTTCATTTATTTCTAGATTTATTTTTCAGTATTGTTATCTTAATTGTGAAGGTTGGCCAAGTTGGTTTTGGCTTTCTCAATGTTAACTCAATTTAGCTTCAATTTTTATATCAATTTAGCAAAAGGCCTATATCACGCAAAGTTTAAAATTTATATTCCACTTCTTTAAGAGGACGATTGATTCTGCTTAAATCTGCAATAAGAATCAACATTGCATCGAATGTCGTTCTAGTTTTACGCTATTTCCTGATAATAGGGAAGATTTTCTACATTTTACAGGGTGAGTCAAAAATAGAGCAAAGCTCATGATCTCACGAAAAGTTATAAGCAAATGGTTAATACAAAAGTTCTAAAGTTATAGCCCTTAATTTTGATTAATTAAATCTGTTCGTTATAGATTTAAGGCACCTTAAACAATTTTTCTTTTAATTTCAGTCGGCGCTAGTTCACTAAAGGAATCAAAAAAATTATGTGCCACACGCCATTTCCCTGAAAATAGGTAGTAGATTTTTTACTTTGCCCATTATCCCAATGCTTTCAAAAATTACGAGAAAATGGTGTAAGCATGGTGGAATTTTTAGTATGAATTTATTTACTCTTGGACAAAAATAAGTGTAAATATTTCAAGAGTTGAAATAAATCACAGATAATTAAAAATAGGTATGGCATACTTAATTAAAGTTGTAGATTTCTGCAAAATTTTTCTGAAAAAATAATAAGGGATGTTTTTTTTTTTTCGATGTATAGAAATTTAAGTTGCAATAAAACAACGATGGATTATTCGATTGACATGAATTTTATTTATCCGAAAGATAATCTTGTGGCATTACATTTTAAATATGATTACTGGCATATGACCGCCACGGCTGGCGCGGATGTAGTCCAATCTGGACGTCCAATTTTCGATGACTTTTTCCAACATTTGTGGCCGTATATCGGCAATAACACGGCGAATGTTGTCTTCCAAATGGTCAAGCGTTTGTGGCTTATCCGCATAGACCAATGACTTTACATAGTCTAGCGGTGGTAAATCACAAGATCTTGGAGGCCAATTCACAGGTCCAAAACGTGAAATTAGGCGGTCACCAAACGTGTCTTTCAATAAATCGATTGTGGCACGAGCTGTGTGACATGTTGCGCCGTCTTGTTGAAACCACATCTCCTGGACATCATGGTTATTCAATTCAGTCAATCACCATTGGCGGTAACGTTCTGGCCATCATCGTTTTTGAAGAAGTACGGACCAATGATTCCACCAGCCCATAAAGCGCACCAAACAGTCAGTTTTTCTGGATGTAACGGTGTTTCGACATACACTTGAGGATTAGCTTCGCTCCGAATGCGGCAGTTTTGTTTGTTGACGTAGCCATTCAACCAGAAGTGCGCTTCATCGCTAAACAAAATTCGCTTATGAAAATCGGGAACGACGGCAATCTCGGTTTGGGCCCATTCGACGAATCTACGCCTTACTTGACGAATTCATGATGAATTGCCAAACCAAACTGAGAATAAATCACTTGACAGCTGTTAAATCGGCCACCATCTTGAACAGTAATGCCAACTTAAAGTTCTATACATCGAAAAAAAACACCCACTAATATATGTAGCATCAAAATGAAAACTAGTATTTTTTAGGAGAATTAAAATATTGGAAAAACTATTTGGTGTTGGTATGTATGACTATTAATAACAAAGTTGAGAGGAATTCAAGGCGAAATTTAAAAATAGGGCGTTCCATTCAAACAAATAAATAAGAACTAAAAGTTCAGATTATCACGAAATTATATATTTTCACATGACAATTGTTTCGACAACACCGTGTCTTTATCAAATGTTGCATTTGATTGTCATACAATTTCGTGAAAATCTGAACTTTTAATTCGTATTTATTTTGATAAATGGATTTTCATCAAGTACGAGCCACCTCCGTTCAATTATTAAGCTTTATAAAACAAACTTAATATTACTTAATGTAACCAGAAAAACACAGATAACCGACATATCTTGCATAAAATCTGGAACTAAGTTTAGGTTGGTACTAAGGGCAGAACACACATAGTACCTATTTCAATCACTAATGCTGATTATTCCGATCGTGCAATGGATACTAAGGGCAGAGACACGCGACAACAATTTTAATATTTTACATACGGCCACAAATAGTAGAAAATTAAATTTATTGGAAGCCATGGAGATTAACAAAATGAGACATTCAAATGTATTGCTTAACGATCAATTAGATTTAAATACCTCTAATTTATTGAACTAAAATTCTCGCAACAACATTAATTAAGGTGTTATTGTCATTTTTCGGTATATACAAGGGGGTACCCAAAAAAAACCGGAATCATTTTTTAAAAAATATATATTGTTTTGAAAATCACAGAACGACCTTATCCCCTTCAAAATACTGTCCATTACAACTAATACATTTGTCCCAGCGGTGCTTCCACTGTTCGAAACATTTTTTATATTCATCTTTGGCTATAGCCGACAGCTCATCATCATCATACGTGGAAATAAGAAGAAGTCACACGGAGCGAGATCAGGCGAGTAAGGTGCATGGGGCAGAGGAACCATGCCATTTTTAGCCAAAAACTGCTTAACAGAAATGACTGTGTGTGCATTTGCATTATCGTCAGAACCAGTCCCCTGTCCGCCCCAAATCGGGTCTTTTTTGTCGAATACTGTTGCGCAATCTTCTTAAAACTTCCAGATAAAAAGCTTGATTAACGGTCTCACCTGGTGGAACGAACTCTGCATGAACCACGCCGTTGATGTCGAAAAAGCAAATCAGCATCGCTTTGATGTTTGATTTGACCTGAGGACATTTTTTTGGACGGGCAGATAGTGACGTCTTCCATTGGCTGGACTGTTGCTTCGTTTCTGTATCGTAACCATAGCACCATGACTTGTCACCAGTAAAGCACGACACCCACTAATCTTTGATAATTGTTCAATTGTCTGTCGACGGTCTGTGAGCACAAACTCTCGAATCCTTTTAATATTTTCGTCGATTCGAGCAGTTAATAGACGTCCAGAACGAGGTCGGTCATCAATTAACTCGTCTCCATTTTTGAAGCGTACACACCACTGGTACACTTGAGTTTTTCCCATCGCATCCTCTTTATAAGCTGTTTTTAACATTGAGACAGTTTCAGCAGTACTTTTAACGAGCAGAAAATAAAATTTCACAGCTGCACGTTGTTCTTTTAAACTTGCCATCGAAAAAAACGAAATAACAAAAAGCAGCGTTAATAAAACATGGCGCTGCAAGTGAACAAAACAAGTTAAATTTAAAACGAAGGTGACGTTGAACTGGCAATAAGTTGTACTATCCACAACCTAGCGGCAGAAAGGTGTACTATACAAGCTCTGCGCGCGGCAATTCAATTCCGGTTTTTTATGGGTATCCCCTCGTATAGTAGCAGGTAGTTTGTAAATATTACATTTGAAACAGACACGGTGTTGTCGAAACAATTGTCACGTAAAAATATATAATTTCGTGATAATGTGAACTTTTACTTCTTATTTATTTTGATAAATGGATTTTCATCGATTAAAAGTCACCTCAGTTCAATTTATATTCAAAACTTTTTACTCACTCATTGTCGTAGTACGTTTTGATCGGAAAATAAAGAAAATAATCAAATTTTCGAACACTACTAAAGATGGATAGAGAAACGTATACATGGGCCCCATTTAAAATTTCAATGTCGATGTTACTTTGTCGAAGAAGTGGCAACGTGGCAGCGTTAAAAATATTTTAAATCGCTAGAGCAACGCCTCTAATAGAAATAATCATCAAGACTGAAACACCCAAATTCAGAATATTAAAATAAGTCCTTTTTGACATATAAATTCTTTAATAAATGAATTTAAACAATATGTTTTTTTGATCAGTCCCTATACAGAAGAGAATTATGAGAATTTCCGCAAATTCATATTTCGCCTGGAAAATTTGACACTCCAATAGCGTTGGTAATTGTTTCTATTGCACATCTTCATCTATGATTGAAGTGAAGAAGCTATCAAAACCACTACTTCACAGACCAACGCCCAGCGCTCAGGCCTGCTGGCTAGTAGTTATTAGGATTTGTCGTTATTCTCATGATCATGATCTGAAATATTGGCAAATAATACCTGTTATCGTACATCCAAGTAGGTTGGATAGCCAAGCAATTTTCATCGATGATCCGTTCCCCTCTCACCGACGTTATCCAGTAGGGCAAGCAATACGGTCCCATGTCCTTCCTGTTAGTAGTTTCCGAATACTCCCAGTTACCGGGAAGCCAGGGATGCCCGTAACTCGTCGAAGTTTTGTAATAGCCTCGAGGGTAATCGGCGGCTTTAAGTTTAAGTATGATAGAGTTTTCCTGAAATGTTCATGTTCATTTTTGGCATTTCTCAGAATTTCAGAATAAACAAAACGGCTATATTAACATAACAAAAAACAGCTTCTCGAAATTTTGGAATTGAAAAAATATTCAAGACGTTAAGCACTTTTTGAAATTCATTTCGGAAGATTCTAGAATTTCAAAAAATCGTTGTTAAATACTTTTAGAAATAGAACAAATATCTTCTAGAATTTCTGTAATTGAGAAATGCCTTTACGCACAGAAAATTATTCAGTTTGTCCAAAAAAAATCGCTATTAAGAACATCTAGATAGAAAAAATTTCACTTCTCAAAATTCTAGAATTGAGCAAATAAATTATCTTCTAGAATTTCTGTAATTGAGAAATGCCTTTACGCAAACCTAAGTATAGAAAATTATTCATTTTGTCTAAACAAATTCGCTATTAAGTACTTCTAGATAGATAAAATCACTTCTCAAAATTCTAGAATTGAGAAACGCGTTAAAACTTCAAGAAAATAAGATATTTGCTTCTCAAAATTCTGGAATTGAAAAATATTCAAGATATTAAGCACTTTTTGAAATTCATTTCGGAAGCTTCTAGAATTTCAAAAAGATCATTGATAAACACTTTTAGAAACAGAAAAATATCTTCTACAATTTCCGTAATTGAGAAATGGCTTTACGCAAACCTAAGAACAGAAAATTATTCATTTTGTCCAAAAAAAATCGCTATTAAGTACATCTAGATAGAAAAAAATTCACTTCTCAAAATTCTAGAATTCAGCAACGCTTTGAAACTTCTAGAAAATAAAGTATTTGCTGCTACTACACTTCTCGCTTCTCAAAATTCTGGAATGGAAAAATATTCAAGGTATTAAGCACTTTTTGAAATTCATTTCGGAAGCTTCTAGAATTTCAAAAAGATCATTGCTAAATACTGTTAAAAACAAAAAAATATCTTCTAGAATTTCCGGAATTGAGAAATGCCTTTATGCAAACCTAAGAATAGAAAATTATTCATTTTGTTCAAAAAAATTCGCTATTAAGTACTTCTAGATAAAAAAATCACTTCTCAAAATTGTAGAATTGAGAAACACGTTGAAACTCCTACAAACTCTCAAAATTATGAAATCAGTCACAAAATAAAGACGTTTTAATAATTCATTTTATACAATTGTTCTTTACCAATTAGAATTTATTGTTTTGAGATAAGTGAAAACGCGAAAACCGCCCGGGAAAGTGAAATTGGTTTGAAAATTTCTTACAGGGCCGATATTGGTTGACCGTTGATTATTTCCCCTCTCTATCTAACTAAAATGACAGGTACGTTTTCAGACTTCCACATATACGAGTGTGTTCAGAAAGTAAGGTGAATTTTAAGTCTCATCAAAAGATATTTATTTATTTATGAAAATTAACGTGGTCAGTTTTAGAGATATTAATACACTGGTGCCAATGTTTTTCCCAATCCTCGAAGGACTTTCTAGTATACCCTTAAGTTCTTCCCACGCCTCCCTGTTCCATTTTTTACACAGAATTTTATGCAAATTCTTTGTTCCATTTTTTTTTAAAGCAGAATATCGCTGAACAAACAAAAGGCGCAAACTGGCTGAAAATCTGAACATATGTTGGAGACATGTGTACCACAGCTCGTTTATGTTTTGTTGGGATATAATATAATACGGTTTGCAATCGTAGTAGCAAAACTAACGTCCGTGTCTCTCAGGTGTTTCCTGGAAAACACGATGAACTCTGGTGCCGAATCGTCTTCACAGTCCGATATCCAGTTCAGTTCCAGGTTGGTGTCTCTAGTTGGCGAGACGGTCAGATGGACATTTCCGCAATCGGGACGTCTGTGATCTTAAAAGAACCAATTACAAATGTTAATTCCAAAATTTATAGATACGACTGAAGAAACAATTTAAAATTAGTTTCAAATAAATAGGGTGATTCATAAACATGTGGAGAACCCAACTAATATATTTACAAATGTAACACCCTCTATATTATTGCATTATGCTCAATCAGTCAATGTACACATGGTCTACACCATATTTTTGATGAGAAAACTATTAGTTCTCGCGAAAAAATCAAATGTAACGCTCTGTATATCTTTCAATTTTATTAAGCAATCCCTATACCTAAATTTTTACGAACAAAACTCTGAAAATTTGTCAAGTTATGAGAAAATGTCGCAATAAGCCAAGAAAAATAAAAATACAACGTAAATTTCAGTCAAGCTCTGAAGAAGCCTATAGGACGATTGGCGAAACGTTAGCAAAAACCGACGCAGGAGGAATCCAGCATTTTTGTAAAAAGTGCAACGAAAATTTTTGCGAAAAAAATTTTTCCTATCTTACCAGTATTCTAGATATTCTGCCTCTCTTAGAGCCCAAAATATTATTGAACTATAAAACAATATCTTCTCATCGCGTCTCTTAGTGCAAATGTAAGTTGTCCTTGCAAAATTATTATTGTTACACTGCCCAATCGTTTAAAGATCGTGTCAGAGCGATTATCGAAGTCGGCGCGAGAGATTTCCATCAATAAATAAAGTAAAACTCTTGCAGTTTTCACACATACTTTTCACGTTCAAGTCATATTAATTTCGTTTTCAATATATTTCAATATTTTCAACATTTCAATATTTTCTCACCATACCAGTATAGCAAATGAAACATTAATAAGATGAAATATCCTTATGAAAAGTTGGGAGATTGGCAAGCTAATGATATCAATGTTTGTGTTCGATGTTTTGAAGTTTTTGGTAATTTTACAAAAAGGCAACCGTTGCCGTTATCTTCAATTGCATTTTTTAGAGTGTGAAGTAGAGTTTTGTTGTTAGTAATAAATAGTGCGCAATTTATTAATTATATTAATAGTAGCTGTCATTTTTATCTATCTATCCATTTATTTAAGCAAAAATCAAAGCTCATGTTTTATATTCTATCGATGTGTACTTTAATTGTAGTAATGCCGATTTCTCAGTGTGTTATACTTTGTGTGTTTGTACGTATCTGTTTTTAAAGTTTCTTAATGTTCTAATATTTTTTTTTATTGGTTGACATTATCCCATACTCTTCCGCTTTTTCTATATGTTTAAAAACATTGTTACGACGAATGGCAGATATACAGTGGTAAGGTGGAAGCCTTAAAACTGTATGCCCTAGATTTTTTGCATAATTATCACAGACCTATTCCTTTTGGAGGTTCAAGCTTTGTAGAACCTCAATTAATTGCTTTTTGGTATAATCTTCGTGAAAATAAATGTCGTTATTATTACAATCCATTACAATGACGCTATTAGGAGGAATGTTTGGAACTAGTTTGTTTTTAAACCAACTTTCAAATAAATCAGCGGTGGTAATCCAGAAAAGAACCTTTAATATTTTTTCGCAGACTGAGAAAGTCCATTTGGAATCCAACCATCCAATGTCTAAATGTCAGCATCGCTTCTTTTTTTCCTCGCTGAAATGGGATTATTCACAATTTTCCATACAGTTGATGTTGGAATTTTCGTCAACGTGGCCGTTTCTTCTAAAGATGCTTGCTTGCTGGCACCACGTTCAATGACTTAACAATAACTTTCTTAGTCTCAATAGAATAGTGTTTTCTACATTTGGGCGGGAGCATCTCCTGACATACACTAGACTCGCACATATTTCGCATAATTCGCACACGATTCAGCACACGCCGTATTACACACAAAATAAGAATGATTACTAATAAACTCAAACTAAGTAGTATACCAAACCAAAGAATATTAAACACAGGTAGGTATAAAATTATTTTCCATTACGGACCAGAATTTTACCTGAATTTAAATTCCGATACTTTAGGTAATAATCTTGTTGCATTGTATGTTAATGACCACCCTTGGATAATCCCATTCAAAATCAATTGGTCACTTTCTTATATCTATGAACAGACCATACTTCCAGAAACTCAATCAATGTGTACAACAATTGATGCACTGATTCTGCTGGATTTCTCCAGGGCCTTCGACAAGATGAATCATGATATTTTATTGTCAGCGGGCTTTTCCGGGGGAGCAATAGTTTTATCAAGGCTTTCGATATCAGTTTCTTGAAACAGAGAAAGGTACGTGGACCCAAGTTTCTTTAGTACGTATACACGACTGGTTGTTTTATGACCGTGTTTCTAGTAGATTTTGCCGTTTGTAACACGACGACAGCATCAGCGATGACACACCATTACCACCAATTAGACTTTAATTGAGAAATAATACCAAACGATTATCATTGTTACTACCCATTACTCACTTTCTTGGTAACATCGCGCCGAATGGCCGGCGAGCAAACAAACACCAACGATCAGAGAGATAAACGGCTTCATAAACATAGTTTCGATACGCGCATAACTGCGATCGCTCTGGCCAAGACCCGCAACAATGTCGCCCAAATAAAATCTCAATTCAAACCATGTCGTCGAAATAGAACGGCCGGTTCACGAGCATACGCACACACGCGCACCGCAACGGCGTAGAATCGCTACTAAGCGCCGAGTATCACCTTGCGAGTCAATGTTTTATTGTTTATAAATTTCCTACAAGCGTAACTAGGCGACTTCCTGTCGGTAACGTTGTTATTATTTTTGCGAACCCGCGTTTGATTGTTTATTTCGTTCCTGCCTTGATTAAACAGTGTACGTACGGCGTATATACAGGTTGTCCTCGTTCGGTGGGTCAGATAAAAAAAAACCGTTTGAAAGGCAATTTGGTATGCCTTAATACGAGTTTAAATTGATCAAAGTTTATTTCTGCTATTTAAGTTAAGCATTTTTTTATTACTAGAAACAAATAGGGTTATTGACAATGAGCAACTCAACATTTATTTTTTAATAACGGGTATCACGCCCTTGTGCCCTAATAACATCATTTACTCGATTAGGCACATATCTAATTAAGTACGGTATTGTTTCTTGTGGAATGTTAAGCCGCTCTTCCTCTGCCGCAACAGTAACCTCTAGGATCGAGATTTGGGTACGAGTTCTCCGTTTTAGCACATCCCATAAATGTTCGATAGGATTGAGGTCGGGACTGCATGCTGGCCACTTCATAATTCGAAAACCGATTTCTGTAATGTAATGTTGTTGTGTGCGGCCTAGCATTGGCATGCACAAAAATGAATTCTTCTCCAATGTAGTCGACATATGGTACCACGTGATGTGATAAAATATTCTCTATGTTAAACCTCCTGCCCCTTGACTACGGCCGCCCCTACGGATGAAAACAGGGTCGGTTCGTGCGTCCATAGAAATTGCACCCCATATCATCCATATATATATATATATATATATATATATATATATATATATATATATATATATATATATATATATATATATATATATATATATATATATATATATATATATATATATATATATATATATATATTCACATAATCATGATCTTAACACATGATTGGGGAGACCATGTGATGGATCCACCTCTACCGATCCATTCCTGTGGGTTATAATTATTTAAAAATTTGTCAGGCCTGTTATCAAGTTCTTCAAGAAGCTAAGGTAAATCGTCCTGCAAAATGATTAAATATCTAGGTTCGTAAAAAATATGGTGTATTAACATTACAGTGTTTTATTCCAACCCACACATTAAGTGACCAATGGTTTTGGGTGTGCACTTCCCTAAAATTGATCCGCACCATAGTATTAATTTTGTCATATCCAACTAATGTTATGGTTATAGTCTTGGGCAGAAAGAGGTCCTCTGCTTCTTTAAAAGAAATCCGTTTTTTTTTCGACGCACCCTGTACATTTTCAGAAAATCTTGTTTTTAATGAATATTTTATCCAGATCTCGCTGCAAACGCGATTGTTATTTTTTCGAAAATACTTCCCGACCCCCCAGCACCCTCCGTTTCAGTATTTTCCGTTAGGGCACTAAACTTTACATTTATGCCAAGTTTGAACTCGACAGCTGTAAATTTCGCACACTTATCGTGCTTCATAGCGATGTACGAAAATAGGGAAAATCACAAAAAAAAAAGATGGACGCCATTTTCCGATCGCGGCCATTTCTTATGGGCTTTTGCGTCTCGTGGTCTGCTTGAAAGGAGCGAAATTTCAGCCCCCTAGCTCAAACCATTCTGAAGCTATTCTGCTTTACATGAAGCGTGAACATAGAACAGAGAACAGATATTGGAGAACAGAGTACCGTTGCCGAGATATGCCGAGCCAAATCGTAGAAACACGGAAAATTGAAAATAAAACAACCGAAAATCGTCAGGCGAAAATAAATTATATATTAGGGTCGACTTTACACGGTAAAGCGTACAAACCTAACCTAAAAAACGTGCGACGGAACGCGATAAGAAAAATGCACTTTATATCACAGACGGGGGGTTATCGTCGCGTTTCCCCTCCAAGACGAGCGACGTGACCGCCATGGGGGCGGCGGCGTCCACCAAGCGCTCGTCGCTCAAAGAGGCGGCAACGTCGCTACCTCTGCCTTGGGTTTTAACGATCTTGCTCCTCCTGAAGCTGCTCCTCAATATGCTGGCGACCTCGGCGGCGGTCAGGGCGTTGGAAGTCGACTCCAGACCTCTGAGCCTTTCCAAGGTGGACACCCTCGCAGGACTGTCCGACACCGTCAGCGAGGTGTCACTGGTCGTGGTGGACGCCATTTCGACCAACACCGTGTTGTAGTCGGGAGGCGGAGGTTGCGATACCGGTTGCCTATGGCCGCTAGACTCTCCCAAAATGGTTGCTATGCGTCTGACGCTCCTCCTGATGCTCTGCCGCAGGAACTTCGCAAGACGTGCGCCGGTGGCGGTGGTGTAGCTCGGCGGGGGGGTGTATTTGGGCGGGGGGTCCTCCGCGATCACGTTCGAGGGGTTAGGCGAGGTCGCGGAAGAATCGGAAGGGTTTGAAGGGGGCGGTTCTTCCATGTGCTCGCCTATAGGCGGGCGGTACAGCAGCTGGATCCGCTGAAACGCGTCATAAGTCACACTTCAACTGGACGAAGGTATGCATAACTCGACCAAGCGCCAGATTCGATTTTTTGGTATTTTTGTTATTATTATACTACCTATCGTGGACTGTTAGACATCTGCACAGGGTGGTACAAATTCAAGGGGCGTGTTACGGTCTCATTTTCAAAGAGTTCCTGAGCTACAGGGTGATTCTTAAAAATGTGCGTTTCTAAAAACCCACCATAACTTTTTTATTGGTAAATATAGACATTTTTATTAAAAACATTTTTGTCTTAAAGTCTCTAGTTCACGAGATATAACACACAGATACATTTTTTTTAACGGAATACTCCAATTTTTTTTTTAATTAGTTTTCTAATAAAATTTCCTGTCAAACGATATGCCCTACACCTATTTTTATTAAGTAGTTAAAAAGATATCTGCAATTTTTAATAATTACCATAGTAGGCTGTGCTTAACTCTGACCTATGCAGTTTTACGGTATCTGTCTAGGCAGCTATGATCAGATAAAGACAATTGCCACGATGCACAAGCCCAAGTGTTAAAAGCTATAAAATTGTTTGAAAACTTTGAAAAGTACGACATGATAAAATGATATATTGAAAGTAATGAAAATCGACAGACAGCGTTAAATCTATAATTCCGTTAAAAAGTCATCTAAAAGAATATGGATCCTTTACAAAACCGCGGCCTGGGACATATAGAAGCCTGGCCAGAGATAGAGATTTGGAAGAACTAACGGGTCTGGGAGAAATAGAAATTAACCCCGAATACTTCCACCAGGGCTATGGAGAGAATTCCAAGCAGCAATGCCGTGCGGGTGCCTAAAAAACACAAGTTTAGGCCCTATCGACCCCGACGGGTGCATCAATTTTACTGCAACGAGATTTTGCTCCAAGGCGTGCACTTTGCAGGTGGTATGGTCTGTTCATAGATATAAGAAAGTGACAACAAGATTATTACCTAAAGCAAGCATCTTTAGAAGAAACGGCTACATTGACGAAAATTCCAACATCAACTGTATGGAAAATTGTGAATAATCCCATTTCAGCGAGGAAAAAAAGAAGCGATGCTGACTTTTCTCGAGTATAGATGAAAGTGATCAAGATATAATACGGCGTAAAATTTACCAGTTATACGAGGAACAAAGCGTGCCTACATTAGATATCTTAATGAGCAGGCTTGAAAAAGACGAAACCGTTGTTAAATGTGGCAGAACTACCTTATGGAAGTGTATTCAACACATCGGTTTTAGAATTAAAAAAATTGACAAAAGACAAGTTTTAAAGGAATCTTTTGGAATTAGTAAATAGCGACTGGAATATCTAGAAAAAATTAGGATTTACAGAGAACAACAAAGGCCAATTATTTACTTGGATGAAACCTGGTTGGACACTTATGATACCACGGAAAAGGGTTGGGTTAACTCAACTGATAAGTGTAAAACTATACTAATAACTATTTGGTATGCTGGTTCTAAAGATGGTTGGATTCCAAATGGACTTTCTCTGTCTGCGAAAAATATTAAAGATTGTTCTCTGGATTACCATGAAGACACCACCGCTGATTTATTTGAAAGTTGGTTTAAAAACAAACTAGTTCCAAACATTCCTCCTAATAGCGTAATTGTAATGGACAATGTAAGTTATCACAGTAGACAGTTGACTAAAACGCCTTCCTCATGTGACACAAAAGCAACAATCAAAAAACTACATGTATAATAACGACATTTATTTTCACGAAGTTTATACCAAAAAGCAATTAATTAAGGTTCTACAAGGCTTGAACCTACAAAAGGAATACAGTTTTAAGGCTTCCACCTTACCACTGTATATTTAATCCCATTGAACATGTTTGGCACCAACTGAGATCTGCCATTCGTCGTAACAATGTTTTTCCCCGTGTTAACTCCAATGTCCTCAAAGTTATAAAAACCGAAGTTTTTAACATCCCTTCCACAAAGTTGGGCAAATTCTGTTAAACATATAGAAAAAGCAGAACAATCGTATATCCATATTGCAAATAATATAGAACAAATAATAATTAGAACAGGCGATGACAGCGATAGTGATACTGATATATTATGCGAATAATTTTAAGTAAAACAAAACCCCAAATAATTAAATTCTAAGCAAAGTACGAACCTGTTCGGCCGTATTTCATTCTTACAGCTTGCCCGGGTCTTTCCTTAATTCGTATCAGTTAGTCACTTTCTTATATCTATGAACACACTCTATCACTGCTATTACTGGAAACAGCAAAATCCCCATATTATGGTGGAACAATTTAAATTACGAAAGATACCGACAAATTCTAGAAGAGCAGGTAATTCCGTTTATCGACCATTTGCCATATGACGGTGCACCTCCTCACAATGCACGAGACATTACTAATTTGCTAAATAATATGTTTGCCTGGATCGGAATAATATATAGGACATATCTTTTAAATTAAATCAAAAAATGCCGGAACCATTTATAATAGTAAGTCTTTTGCCAGTAACCGTCAACATAAGTCAGGTTCTAGGAATAATGGTGATCACTCCAAAGCATTTTTTACTAATACTCCTTCTAATAACGTTCCTACATTGAATTGTGGTATCTGTAGGACCCAGCATTCCATTATAAACTGCTCCGTCTTTTTAAGTAAGACTCCTCATGAGCGCTATTTACTAGTTAAACGCAACCGTTTGTGTGTGAATTGTTTGAGTTCGTTTCACAAATTTTCGAAATGCAGTTCTAATAAGACCTGTTCTTCTTGTACGAAACGCCATCATTCTTTACTACATTTCTAGTCGGCACATGGTAATGAACGTAGTCCACCTAATGACGATGTTTTGCCCAGTGCTAATGACTCTTCCGTAGATCAACCACATTGTGGCACCACTTCCATAAATTCTAATAGTGCATTTACGCTCCTTGCGACTGCAAAAGTGGATTTTCTGGACAGCCAAGGTTATTCCCACACAGTTAGAGTACTACTGGACAGTGGAAGCCAAGGCAATTTTATATCCGAAAGATGCTTTAAGAAATTACGACTTTCCCGCTCTCGTTTGAACATTCCAATTAATGGGTTAGGTAATATGACATCTGTATCGTCGAATGGTGTTACTTGTTGTACGGTCCGCCCGGTGGGTAAGAACACACCTTCTTTTCCCATAGAATGTATCGTTTTACCGCAGATTTGCTCCTACATGCCTTCTGTATCTTTCAGTCGCGAGAACTGGTCACATATGGAGAATTTAGTCGTTTCTGATGACACCTACAATACTCCTGGACCTATAGATGCTCTCATCGGGTGCGAGTTATTCCCTTTAATTTTGTTGCCTGAGAAGGTGTGCGGTAAAGAGTTGGAACCTGTCGCATTCAATACATTATTTGGCTGGGTAGTGATGGGTAAAATTGATCGTATAAAAAGCAAGTCCTCATATTCCTGTTGCACACTATTGGAAGAAAACCGGGATATTAATAAAACTCTTCAAATGTTTTGGGAAATGGAGGAAGTTCCAAGTAGCAAGTCTTCATTAACCCTTGACGATCCCGCTGAAATTTCTTTTAACGAGACTCATTCTCGAACTCCTGAAGGACGTTTTATCGTTACTCTACCGTTTTCCAGTGGTGAGCCATTATTTTCTGACTCACGCTCCATAGCCCTAAAAAGGTTTTATAGCTTAGAGCGCCGTCTTCTTAAGGATCCTCCATTATTTGAGATATATTCCAAATTTATGAAGGAATACTTAGAGCTGGATCATATGGAACCCGTGTCTGCTCCTGTCTCTGACGTTGCCCAGCGCCACTTCTACATCCCTCACCATGGGGTTACTAATTCAAATAGTACGACTACTGCATTGCGCGTAGTCTTTGACGCATCTTGCAGTCCGCGGGATCGATCGTTGAATGACACTTTGTTGATTGGTCCCAAACTACAAAATGAAATTGTAAGTATTCTGTTAAGTTTTCGAAGGTTTCCTGTAGCATTTACTGCCGATATCACAATGATGTATCGACAAATACTTGTTAATGACAGCCACCAAGACTACCAACGTATTTTATGGAGATTCTCCCCTCGAGAACCTGTTCAAGATTTTCGCCTAAAAACCGTAACCTACGGATTAAATTCAGCTCCTTTCCTTGCTCTGAGATGTCTTTTACAATTAGCCACCGAGGGTAGAGATAGATTTCCTAGGGCCGCAGCAATTTTAGCGTCCCAAGTGTATGTTGATGATATATGTGTATCTTGTAAATCTTTAGAGGATGCTGTGGATATCAAACAACAACTTATTGCTCTATTGGATGAGGGTTGTTTTTTCCTTAGAAAATGGTCTAGCAATTGTGTTGACTTCTTAGCTACTATACCTTCAGATATTCTACAGAAACCTCTCGCACTTGACACTAAATCCGATCCTTACTTGAAGGTTTTGGGTCTCAGATGGTCTCCAGAGAAGGATATCTTCTCATACGACATACAATTTCTCAACTCGACATGTACTAAGAGATCTATACTTTCTGAAATTTCCAGAATTTTTGATCCAATTGGATTACTTTGTCCCATAACTCTATTAGTTAAGCAGCTAATGCAATCTTTATGGGCGAGAGGTATCGACTGGGACAGTGAAGTGCCCGCAGATATTGCCCAAAGGTGGACCGACTACAAAAATGAATTGCCAAGTCTGTCAGCATTAGAAATACCCCGTTATTGTTTTATTTCAAAGTATGTTAGTTTAGAATTCCATGCTTTTGGGGATGCTTCAGAGCTAGGTTATGGAAGTTGTATCTATTCTCGCCTCGTGTCTCCAGATGGCCAAATTTCTACTTATCTCCTCTATGCTAAGAGTAAAGTATCTCCATTGAAGAGATTGAGTCTTCCTAAATTGGAATTAAGTGCTGCATTAATGGCTTCCAAATTGCTTAAATATGCCTTAAATATAATTTATTGGAAAACTGATTTTTTTAGAAAAATTGGGGTATACCATTTAAAGAAATATAGCATTGTGTGATATCTCGGGAACTAAAGGCTCTATGACAAAACGGGTATAATAGAGAGATTGCTGCTTAAAAAAACTCAAAAAAATGTTTTTTCCAAAACTCTAGTCTTACAATTAAAAAAGGGGCATTTAAAACGCACATTTTCACCCTGTGGCTCAAAAACGCCTTGACATATCACGATGCGGTTTTCAGTTTTCGATTTCTCTCGAAAATCGAGCCAGTATTAATTTTGCAAATGCTTAAAGCCATAGAAGCCCCTCGAACTTGGACCACCCTGTACAGGGTGTTTTGTAAATGACGGTTAAGGGGGCCATTTTAAAAAGCAAACCTAATATGAACGAACATATGCCCTAAACGCCTTAACTTTTGAAATGCAGGGTGAACAAATTTTCAAAAATGAAATATATTTTTTTAATATCTGCAATGCCACTTTAGATATTTCAATGAAACTAGGCACGCGTGTACTATGTATCGAGAGTCATTGTTTACTTTTCTTTTTACTTGTCCATTTTGGCAGAGCACCGTTCCTAAGTGGGACACACTGTATAATAAGCATAACCAGACTAAGCGTCATTTTTATCACAACTTCTAAAACATTTTTTCTGTTTAATGTTTACATAGACCAATTGGTAATGGCCCCTTGCGAAAACCGAATCTGTATCACAGTTACTCGTTTTTTAACTTAATTTAATTTAATGGCGGTTTTCCGAAACTTTTGGCGTTGACGTCGAGTTATGCACAACTACGTCCGACTATAACTACGACTAACAAAGTGGTACTAACGTGGATGGAGGGTTCCGCGCACTGATCCTGAGACACGCACGCGTCAACAACAAAATCGAAATTAAAAAGTGAGGTTAGAGGCGTAGCAAGGACTACTCACGTCTAGAATATCGGAGGGGCCGCTGTTCAAATAGCGATAGCTTTGAACGACCGCCACCAAAGGGACGCACAGTACGGGCAGCAGTTGCATCATGGAGCCCATCTGCCTGGACCACAACGGCCAGTATTCGGCTACCGGCGCGTGATGCCACACGAACATGTCCCTGAAGTAGCCGTTCCTAAACGTCGAGATGCACAGTACCATGAGAACTACCGGCAAGATAACGTTCCACGTAAACGACAGCAATGGCGGCGCCCAACTGACCAAACACGCGCTGGTCGGACCGAAGAGAGCCGTAACCACGGTGTCGCCGCTGTAAGGGCGCCCCCTGACGACGAACACGGCTACTATTTGAAGCAGGACTATGATGGTCATCCACCATATGCCGCCCATCACGTAGTCCATGAAATATACCACGTAGATGCCCACCTGGTCAACGGAAATGTTTTTCTGTGATGTTTACGGCGGGTCCCGACCAACAATTTATGTTTCAAATAATATATTAATTATTAATTAATAAAAACACAATAGAAAAGGTTGAACAAAAATGAACAAGTATTGCTGACGACCAGTTCAGAGCAACCAAATAATCTTAATCACGACTTTTAGCTCCGCCCCCCTCAAACAATATATAAGCAGGTGCAGAGTAGAATGAAAGCCAGTTGCAATTAAGCTCTGAAGGAGCCAACAAGATGAATGGCGGAATGTCAGTTGGATTCAATAATAACCGACGCAGGAAGAATCAAGAAGATTTATAAATAGTATTACCGTAGCCTGTGAAAGCTTTGAAAAATTAATTTCTGTTTTATAAATGGCGTATACAGAACTATTTCTATAAAACAACAATGTCGCTATAAACGTTCTAACACAACAACAAAACAAAAAGGGCGCTGGAATAAAACGATTTTATAAAAGTTGTTCGCAGATGCGGCTTTTATGTTTTGACTAAAAACTATAAAAGTGAGCTTTTGTTGTTAAATTGCACCCATTGAGAATAAATTATTTTTTAGTAGTTCTAAAGGTGTGTTCTTCTGTAGCAAATAAAATTATGGACTAAATATGTCAGCCATTAAACAGTGTATTAAAAAATCCATTGCTCACTTAAAATGCTTAGACGGTTCTAAACATATTTTAAATTAATCATTAAAAAAGGTCTTGTGTGATTCGATAGTTTTATCTTCTTTTAATCACTGTGAACATATGTCCCCTATTATAAATCGCTGTGTTCTATCAGATAGAAAGGAGTTTTAGAGGTTTCCTCCATTATGATGGGACAACCATAGGGCAGCATAGCAAAATAAGCGTAATATTTATGATATCGTTGCCAAAGGCTTTAGTTTTTAAGTTTCTAAGAACGTCTTATTAGTTACATAAATGCTTTTGTGTCCTTACTAAACTTTTTTTTTATATAATTTATATATAGCTATTTTTATGACAGTCTTCATGATCATTATATAATCTTTTTTCTAATGCACTCTCTGAGTGCAATATGCTCTCAATGACAATCTTATCATAAAGAAAATATTCATAAATATATTTAATAAATAGATAGCGCTAACGAAACAATTTTATAGATGCTATTTCTAAATCTTCTAGAATCATCCTGTGCCCGTCTTGCTGACATTTTTTTCAGTTTTAGTTGAATTTTGACGAAGCCAACAAGCTAAAATGTTGTATAAAATTACCTTTTATAACCCGCTGCCTCGGTTTTTGCTGAGTCGAACTTGCTGACGTTTCGCCAATCATCCTGTTGGCTTCTTCAGAAGTTGACCAAAACTCAAAGCTCTGAAGAAGCCAACAGGATGATGGGCGAAACGTCAGCAAGTTCGACTCAGCAAAAACCGACGCATGAGGAATCTAGAAGTTTTATAAAAGGCGTTACGGTAGCCTGTGGATATTTCTTTAAAAAAAAATCGTATAAAATTACAAAACACGTTTTCTGGTTGGGTTAAGATCGGCTTACCTCCGTCGCCATTGGAAGACCCAGGATAAAGCCGCAGGTACAGCTGAAGAAGGTGATGGTAGTCTCCCAGGATTTGAGCACCTTGGACCTGATGGCCATGATGCCGGTGATGACGCAGTGCCAGATGGCCAGCTGCTGCGACACGCCGAACATGATGAGGATGAAGTAGAAGAGTACCGCCCAAAATGGCGACACTTGTTCCGCCCCCATCACAGCGAAGGTGGCGGGTAACAGTTCTGTCGCTAATCTCAGCGCCTGCGCGTACGTCACTTAGATAAAATGATACATGGTCCAAAACCGTTACCTGATATCCACTCTCGGTGCTGTAGTCCACTCCCGGTCTGATGACCCTTTCGCCCAGGATGAAAGAATTGTGTATCATGTATCTGACGGGGGTGTTGGCCAAGCTGGGAGGAAGGGGGTCCCTCGCTGATCGCAGAAACACGGAGGAAGACATGTGCTCTACAAAAGACTTCCATGTAAATACATTAACCAAGGAAGCTATAACTTACCGAACGAGCTGGGAAAGTAACTGTAGCCGTAGGATTTGAGTATCTGGACGCAAGTGTTGGCCAAAAAGGCGACCAACAAGAGCACCGTGAACGTAATCACGGCGACGAGGCTGCAGTCACGTTGGAGCAGGTGTTTGTGCTTGTTGTGCGACGCTACTTGCATGACGGCGGCTCCGAGAAGCCCCCAAGTGAGGAAGGTCTCTTGCGCCGCTGCCAACCAGCTCTGAAATCACACCCAGACCAGTGATTGTTGAGTTCGGAAGCTTGAGTCAGAGAAATATGGTCTTTGAAAATTAAAAAAAATAAATGAAAAATACAAAAATCGTTGTACATTGCGTAAATCTTTAATATATTCTGCCAGATTTAAATTTAAGAATTCTTGAATTAAGGGCACCGGTTTAAATTAAGAATTTCAATGTGGTTGATGATATTTTCACGATATAATGTTCATTGTGGTGAATAGTCTTGTTTTTAAAATGTTTCAAATTTTTATTCCTAAATTGCAAATACTGCTTCTGAGATAGCAACATCTCGTTACTTGGAAAATGTTGCCTGGTATATAATTTTAGAAGCCGAAACAATATACCCATTTTCAAAACGTACTACTACTAAATAATGTTCGAATGAAAACGACAAAACGTAACATACATTCGATCATTCTCTTATAACGTCTATAAGCTGTGCAATAGAATTCTGAAAGAATTAAACTTATTTATTCGTCTCTTTCGAAAGTAGTAGATTTGTTGTTTATTTTTGTTATATTTTTGTATAATATATATAACATATATATTCTTCAAATTCTCTTGGGTATTCGATCTCTCGAAAACAAATAACGTAATTTCTTTAAATATCTATTAGCCCACTTTGTCCCAGTGGCGCGTTAATGCACCGCCTACTCTATGATTTTTTTGTCACATCCAGGAAATATTTTTGCACATCCATTAAGAAATTTTATTATTATAACTACTAGAGGACACAAAAACAGTAGAAATCGCTAATTTATGTGTAAAGGACAGATCTTATACATGACTTCAAAAGTTAACAAAAGCGGTACGTAAATTTGTATCACATTTTCAAGTAAATCCAAAATAGTAAAAAAAAATATTTTGGATTTGTATTGCAATTTTTGTTAAGTCGATAGCATGTAGATTACATCGCAGAAAACATATATTGGAAATACTATATTGACTCTTTTTTTTCTGAAAATATTTACTGGTGTTATTGCAAGTGCCACAGTTCTTTAATTTCCCATTTCAGATTGTCATATTTTTGGATCTTCTCATCCTTCTTAGAGTCGATGTTGTGTGTGTTGGGATGGATATATCAACTAAATATGAGGTATTTGTCTCATTATCAGTAACTGTCAAATCTGGTCGATTATGCCTGATTTCCTTCTCTGTGGTTATGGTTTTGTCCCAGTAGATCTTCGCTTTGTTATTCTCGATGACTGGCAGTGGTTGAAAGCAGAAATATGGCTTTTTATATTCAAGGTTTTTATAAGATATATAATGTTTGCAACCTTGTTGTGCCTCTCTATATATTTTGTGTTGGCTAGATTGGGGCGTCCCAGGATTATTATTATCAGTATTATTATTATTATCCCGTACCTTAGGGTTGAGAAAAAACTCGGTCCAAGACGTTTCGGGAAAGATGACGTTGACCAATTCGGGGGGCATCAGGCCCAGGATTTTGGCGCACAAGACGAAAGTGCCAAAGACCGGGAAGAGGACGAACGCGTAGATCACTTTGCCGTAGGACCTTAGACCTTTGCTCAGGGATACGAACACTATCATCCAGACCACCGCCAGGTTGAAGGCCGGTTGAAACTTGACGGTAGCGTAGGCGGTACCGGAAGCGAAATGGTGGCGTTGCAACACGATCCCGTTGAAGTAGTCCGGCACAGTTTCGGTCAGCCGGTAGGTGGCGTTGTGAAGGCGATGCAAGTCTGTAACGTCAACGAGGCCTAGTTTTAATTGTGTTAGCAACGTAGATACGTGGATAATGTCTTTGCTTGCTTTGTTGGAATGGACAGACAATTGAATTCTTTTTTAAATGACATTAACTCATTACATAATCGTATAAAATTCACTATCGAGATTGAACAGGATAACTCTATTAATGTTTTAGACTTAACTATTACAAAAACGCAAAACAAATTAGATGTTTCCATTTATCATGAACCTTCACACACGGACACAGTCATACATAACATCTCAAATCACCCTTATACACACAAAATAGCTGAATGTCACTCTTTTATACACAGACTTCTTAAAATATCATTAATTGCACTGCATAAAATTATAAAAATAATAAATAAAAAACAAATCCAGACAACAGTAAACTCTATTTATCCGTAACCTAATACAGAACACGGACAATTTAAAACCATTACATACATAGGAAAACAAAGTGAAAAAGTTTCAAAATATTCGTGAAAATGTGGTTTAAAAATAGCTTTCAGAACTAACAACACAATAATAACATAACATATAAAAACCTAGGACAGTGGTTCGGATCCTCAACTAATACGCTGTTTAGGACAGCGGTAAATAAAGTATTGATAGCCCATATGACCGCTAACGTTCGGTAAAAAACGCATACGGCGCATCAACAAAATCCCTTAAAGGCCTGCCACATATTCAAACACACCGTACAGAGGGCTCAGAATTATTTAAAAAAAAAAACACACATTTGGAGACCTAGACGGTGACCTAGTATCGCGCTTGCACAAAGAAAGACATCGTTAAAACATTTTCAAACCCCGTGGATAAAAATAGAATTGCGGACAATGAAATTAATCATCGCCCGACGCTACGAGACAAATATGGAGGCACCGTAATGTATGCCACAAGGAAGTTGATAGAATATTTTAGAGAAAATTTCCATAATGCAATGCTGCGGGTTCCGTATAAAAACTGGTATTCTTTTTATCAGGCGAATGTCTTGATTTCAAAATTTCGTAGTTCTATAGAGTACCCACTCCAACTGATCAAAGCAAAAGCCACTTAGAGTGAGACTCTATAACTCAGGATTATCGTTTAGATAGGGTGATACAATGTTCTATGTTCGATGATCGCGTTAGGACTTGAACCAAAGAATGCTGCATTGAAATGGTGCCTGCAATAGCTGCCTAGCTGTTTTGCTCTTAATAAATGGGTATTAACTAAGTTAAATCTTTTCTTATTCCTGAGTTAATTCTCGCGTAGACTTAATCTTGGATAGCGAGCTTCTTCAGCATTATTTTCGGTATCTTCGTTACTAATTTTTCTAGCCATACAATTTTGGCTTTAAATCAGCAAGCGCAAAAGCAGGAGCTTAGAAGACCACGGACTGAAGCCGGTAAGATCATAAGACCATAACGCTATCCCCAATTTTCTAAACCTCATCCGCTTATAAAATTATTCGAAAATCTAGTTTCGCTTTACTTCGAGAAAGAATTCATCATACCCGTAAGGAAATATACCAAATCCTCTGTCGCCATCCGAGTTCGATACCCTCTCATACATGATTCATGACAAAGTCTTAAATCTTCGTTTATCTTCTATCCAAAATCGCATTCATCACAACTACCAAACACTGTGAAAAAGGCACCATCGCACCAAATTCATCACTTCTTTCAAAAGGTTCCAACTTCGGCCCTGCCCCACGTATCATCCTAAAAGAGGAAATCATTTCAAATGTCGAGTGTATCCTAGACAAACTGCGATCTCAAACAGCTAATGAAATTCGATTTGGAACGTCAAAAATCCTTAAAAAATGAAAACCTCCTAAATCTAACATTCCAAAACCTAAACGCAGTGGTCGCCAGCCTCTTCAATGTGTTGAGTTAATTTTGGAATAAACAGTGAGCTACCCACACGAGAGGTAGATTTTCTTAGACATTAAACTCTAACATACGTTTTATCATTGAATTAGAAACGAATAATAACCTCCCGCTCTTAGATATCCTTATCAATAGAAAATCAGACCTAATATTGGGTCATTGCGTTTACAGAAAACCTACGGACACAGACCGATACGTTAATGCATTGTCGCATCACCATCCGGCCCAAAAATAATCAGTTATCAAGTCTCTTGTTTACGGAGCAGTAAAACTATGTCAAGTCACTGAACCTAGAATAAAACACATTACCTCTGCCCTACTCTCTAATAATTTCCACATTAAAGATATTAAGCGTTTCATCACAAAATACACTTCACCATAACCTACCAATAGCAATGACCCAGAAAGCAATCCCACACTCGCCATTGCTGTCCTTTCCTACATTCAAAACATCACTGACCCCATTTCAAAAAAGGTCTAAAGAAATATAACGTCAAAACCAGATTTACCACTTGTCCCAAAATCTCTCAACAAATACTGTCAAGGAATTCTAAAATCAAAATATGCAGAACAGTAATAAGGTAATAACTTGCGGCTCGGAAACCTGGACCTTCACAAAGCAGAATGAAGCACTGCTAAGTCGCTTTGAGCGAAAAATCCTCAGGAGGATATGTGGAACTTCAGTGGATGAGGAAACAGGGCAATACCGAATTAGAACCAACGAAGAACTGGAAAACTTGTACAGCGAGCCATCCACCTGAAATGTTATTAAAGCACACAGACTAAGATGGTTAGGACATGTCCACAGGTCCCGAAACGAACGTCTTATTAGACGTATTTGGGAGGAAAATCCTTCCGGAAAAAGACCTCTAGGGAGACCTAGACTAAGATGGAGAGACAATATTACCAAAGACCTGCACACCCTGGGAGTAGAGAATTGGAGAGAGGAGGTCACGGACAGAGACCAGTGGAGGCAGGCAGTACTTGCAGCAAAGACTCACAAAGGGTTGTGAGATACAGAAAAAGAAGATTTTTTTTTATTTTATATGAATTAAACCAGGCACCTACCTAAACACGGACGCAGAGAACCCTGTAAGCGAAGTTCTGAGTGAAGAAACTTACCGTGCCTGTAATAGAGAAACGGCTCGGCCCACCGGTACTTGTCCACCCGCGTTATAAACGAGTCCCGAAAAAACACGAACATCCACGACACTCCGACGATGCTGTAGAGGCCGGTCAATGCCTGCGCGATCAGCAGCGACACCCCCACCCCCTGAAAGAGCGGCGAGATCCTCCACATGTCTATGACGCCCGCTCCGAGCTGTTGTCCGAGACAAAGCTGCAGGCTGAACAGCGGCAATCCGAACACCATCGACAAGAGGAAGAACTGGAAGATGAAGTTGGCACCGAAGTGGACGGTCAAGATGGCGAAGCGGGAAATGTTGAACAGGCCGAGCGTGCAGCCCAGGCAGGCCATCATCGAGCTGAGGCTGTGAGGCCACTGGCCCAAAGGGCTCTCGACCTCCGGCATGTCCGTTTGTCTCGGTCGGTCACATGGTCTGCAAAACAAAGAGAGCGCGAGTGAGAACCGAGAATTGTTTACAGACGACGACAAATTTAATCGAATTTGTCAAATTTAAACTCTAGAAAATTCATTACGTACTACGCCGCTGGTTGGTATACGTATGCGAAGTCAGCCAGCGAACCAGAAGAAGAAGAAATATAAACGTGTGGCAATAAGTGAAAAATAGGCAATTTGACATTTTGACATTTTAGTCGCCGCGCTAAGGTACTGGGTTATCATGTATTTCAACACCCACCTACAGGGTCAATTTTGAAAAATAGAAAAAAAAAGTGAAATACAAAAGTTTGAAGATATTATGCAAAAGTCGGAAAAAACAAACGACGATCGCAAGCTGTCAAAATGTCAACAAATATATTACTAGCTTAAATATAATCTTTTTTTCCTGATTTCAGTTTTGTTATTAATTTAAACAAAAATTAAAAAAACATAAATTGACAGAAAGTAAAACTAAATTTGGCGCCATTTTGGGGGCGACCGTGACCGGTGTGTCCAAAATAAGCTTCGCTAACACACTTAACTCAGAAACAGAAAAAAAGTTAAAGACAAGGCAAATGCAGTATTACACAGGGTGTAACACCCTGTACCCTGGATATTTCGTTTTTAGAGTAATTAGAATCTTCAAAAATATCGTTCGAATTGTCAATCAAAAAGTATATGAAATAACGAGCCGAAATTATTAGCGATTTAAATTTCATTTAGGTATAGTGCTTTCGTAAATAAACGTTTTTTGTCTGCTGATTGCACTGGGCTAATGTAATTGTTTGAAAAGATAATAAGTAGGTAGCAATGCGTCGTATGTTTATATTCAAAAATTAAGTGTTAATTTCTCAAGGAAAGTGAATAGTAATCCGTTGTTGTCTTGGCAAATATTGATTTTAGTCCGTCCGTGAGAAGGCACGCCTAATGCAAGACACAGAGTTTCGTTAAAGAAAAAGCATTTATTCCTTGAAGGAAAGCCAATTGCAAAGACAGGGTGGTGCCCGAATTAGTGGGTCAAACTATAAAATACGTCCAAAAATTTTGCCAAATCTGATTTAAAAATTACTGACTTTTAGACTGTTTATTTTAAAAAACTGAAAAGTTTTTTGAATAATACACCGTTTAGCGTGGCCATCTTATTTATTAATCAAAAATTAAAAACAAAAAATTGAGTGTTACTTACAAATTTTGGATCATTATAAATATTTTCCCAAAATTGAAATCTTTTATCCATCCAAGATTGGGATTCATTTCATTCAAGCTCTCATTAAATTGCTTATCAATATTTTATTTGTAGTAGTTTTGTGCATACAGCTTGCTCCGTTGTGAAAAGACGGTAACCACTTTTTTTTTCAAATTAAATGTTACAAATATTTTTAAAAAGTCTAACTATTCGCTTAATTTTTTTTTGAGAAAAAATTATTGGCCCATAAATACAAATGACCATCAAAAAATTGTTTTTTCTAATTTAAAAACTCATTTCTTTAAATAAAACACGATTTAATTCAGTATCAATTTAGATATATTTGTTCTAGGTTTTTTTTTGCATTAATTACTTACATTCAATATAAAATCAACAAGTAATGCAAGCAAATAGAACTTACTACTAATTACAAAACATTTTCTACATAACCTCGATCTTTGGCAATGCAAGAAAGTTATATGGTTTCAATTTTTGCAATCTTCCCAAATTCTCATTTTTTAATCTTTGGTCTCTTAGTAGTGTGTGTCTCTTAGTACTTACATATTTTTTTTTATATTTTAAGCGAATTCTTACTTTCAATTACTAGATACTAATACAAAAAAGTAACGAAGTACAGTTTTTGTTCGAGTTCGATATGATAAACCGAAAAGAAAAAATTAATAATATATTTCTTAAAACACCCTGCACAAGCGTAAAATAAAACCAAATATCATTTAAAGCCCTTTTTAATGACTCGAAGAAAAATTCAAACCCGTACCCCTTCCCTTGTAGTCATTATTATTATATATTTCGCATTTGTTAAGCTTTCATTAAATTGTTTATCAACTTTTTATGCCAGTTTTGTTTCTTACTTGCACCTGCACCCTGCACTACATTTTTTTGCAAATGCTGATTTAGAAAAGGTTACCATTCATCGTCATTCATTCAATTCATTCAAATTCCAACACTAGTATCATAAAACTTAGCCCTTATTTCTCGATAAATATATTTTTTTTAATTATACATACTTTTGAGGCTGAACTTTGACTAAGTGATACACTTCAGTAAGTCATTTTCTGCGAATAAACTTTATTTATTATGATTATTATTATCTGAGAAAATACTATATCTTAAACTGTCTGCGAAATATTTTTTTTTTAAATACGATATTTCGGGGCACTTTTATTATTTTATTTATAAGTTTATAACGTTTATGACGTGATCCTCGGACGTCAATAACACCGCCGTTTGAAAAAGGGTACTTGAACTTTCCGAAGCAAACAACAAAACGCACGGTCTGGTGACCTAAACCTAGATAGAATTTTTTGAGGCTTAATAATTGCACTTCCCAATCCGCTCGAGGGCAACGCTTCGTGGTATTTATTACATTTTTCGACAAATGGTTTCTCGGTCGTTCATATTTTATGTGTAACTGTTTCGCAAGCGCCTCGTTCACTTCGTACGGCTCGCAAGTACGCGTTCAACACAGGAAAGTAGGCTGTGGCCGTCGAACAGGCGTACCGCCCACTCAGGATCGACCATTGTTTATATATTTAACGGAAACTCAATTATAAAATTTTAATGAAATATCGAAAGCAGTTTCAAAGAACTTGGGTAGGAACACATTTTTTTTTTCGCTTTTTATTCCGCAATACGAAAAATAAGTCAGAATTTTTCATAAACAAGCCAGAATCTATAAAAAATAAGTCAGAATATCTGGAAAATAAATCAGAACTTATGGAAAATAAACCAAAACCTCTGTAATATAAATGAGAATCTCTCTAAGCCATGCTTTCTGAAAAATAAATAAAAATACGAAAGGCAAATTTTTCGGGAAGAAGTCAATATTTTCAACTAAAGAAAGAATTAATGGAAAATAAATACGAATTTGTATTGATTAAAAATAAGTCAGAATTTTTCATAAACAAGCCAGAATTTATAAAAAATAAGTCAGAACATCTGGAAAATAAATAAGAATTTATGGAAAATAAACTAACCAAAACTTCTGTAATATAAATGAGAATTTCTCTAAGTCATACTTTCTGAAAAATAAATAAAAATACGAAAGGCAAATTTTTCAGGAAGAAGTCAACATTTTCAAGTAAAGTCAGAATTTATGAAAAATGAGTACGAATTTGTGAGTTACGTCAGAAAAGAAGTAAATTAGAATCAATAAGCCACAATTTATATAAAATAATTCAAAACTTCTGAAAAACGTATCAGAATTTTTGAAAAAAAAATCAAAATTTCTGAAAAATAAACCAGACTTTATGAAAAATAAACCAAAATTTCTGTAAAATAAATGAGACATAAGACATATTTTCTGAATAATAAGTCAGAATTTTTAAAAAATTGATAAGAAATAAATTAGAATTGCTGAAAAATAAGTCAGATTTTTTCACAAACAAGCCAGAATGTATAAAAAATATATCAGAATTTCTAGAAAATAAGTTAGAATTCAGGAAGAAGAATCCAAAATTTCTGGAACATAATTAAATTAAATTAAAATAATAAATAAAATTAAAATATTTAAATTATAAATTCAGAGTTAAATCAGAATTTCTAAGAAAAAAGTCATAATATCTCAATTAAGTCAAATTTTCTGAAAACCATGTCATAATTTTTGAAAAATAATTCAAAATTTCTGAAAAATAAGTGAGAATTTTTAAGCCTAGTCAGAATTTTTGGAAAATAAGATCGAATAACTGAGTTAAGTCATAACTTCCGATAAATAAGTAAGATTTTCTGGAAAATAGGTCATAATATCTTGGTTAAGTCAGAATTTCTGAAAATCAAGTCAGAATTTTAAAAAAATCTGATTTTGTGGAAAATAAGTAATAATTTTTAGATTAAGTCAGCATTTCTGGAAAATAAGTCATATTTTCTTCGTTAAGTGTTGGTGAATTTCGGAAAATGAAGTCCATATTTTTAAAAAAATAAATCAGAATTTCTGGAAAATAATTTGATTGAATTGAGTTGAATTTCAAAAAAATAAGTAAGATTTTCTGGAAACTAAATTACAACTTCTTAGTTAAATAAGAATTTCTCAAAAACAAGCCAAAATATCTGAAAAATAAGTCACAATTTCTTGATTAAATCATAATTTCTGAAAAATATGTTAAAATAAGTGAGAATTTCTGGGTTAATTAATTTATTTATTTAGCATAAAGCTATAACAGAAAACAATCGTATTTACATTTTAAATATACCAGTCAGTAGCAAAATAGGAAAATTTAAAGAAGTATAAAAGTACAAAAGTACACAAAACAATAGTCTAGTTAAATCAGAATTTTTGAGAAGTAAGTGGGAATTTCTGAGCGTAGCCATAATTTTTCATAAATAAGTCAGAATTTATGCAAAATAAGTCATAATGTCTGAAAATGAAATAAGAATTTATAAGAAATAAACCACAATGGCTGGAAAACAGATCAGAATTTCTGAGTTAAGTCAAAGTTTATGAAAAATAAGTTAGAATTTTTTAAATTAAGTAAAAATTTCGAAAAAACATAAGAATTGATCTAAAATAAATCAGAAATTCTTAGTTAAATCAGAATCATTGAGTTAAATCAGAATGAATGTAAAATAAATCAGAATTTTCGAATTGCGTCAGAATTCCTAGGAAACAAATCAGAATAAATAAAAATTAAAAGTTTTCACGAAATTACATATTTTCACATGTGATGTGAAAATATATAATTTCGTGAAAATCTGAACTTTTTGTTCTTAGTTATTTTATTAAATGGATTTTCATCAAGTAAAAGCTCAAAAGTAAAAGTTCGAATAAATCAGAATTTCATAATTATTATAATTAT